GCAATTAACAGAGCAAGAGATAAGAAATTCTAAATTAAATAGAATTTGCAATAAAGGAAGTGTAACCATTAGATGACTCTTTACAGGAAGTGTTTAGAAAGGTGTGCTTAGGGCTGCATACACAAGTGATTTAACGCCTAAACGGCAGAAAATTGAGCAGTTAGACTGAAGGGCAGGGCATGATCTATACACCAAAACTGATTTATTAAGCTAAAATTGTTTTGTTGATTATACTTTCCTTTAAAATATATGTAAATATTATAGGCATAATTAAATATATATATATATATATATATATATATATATATAAAACACACATACACAATGCCCAAGCACTCCAAGCCCTTATCACTTATCATTTTAATGGATTGAATAAAGTTTTTGCCATCCCCAAATAAAAAGACAAATTGATTAGGAAAATAATTTTATTTCAACCCTGTTAAGCTTAACCACTAAACTTGGAGGGCTGACAAGAGTGTTGTGGCCTGCAGCCTCAAATTATTCTTCTGAAAATTAAAATAAATCTACAGGGGTATGACAGCAGACAAGGAATTGTGCAGAGTCTTTACCAGCCCAGCACAATGTGGGTTTGTGCATGGGCTATTGGCTTGTGTGTTTAACGCTTTCCAGGTCTGGACTAGCCCACTCGGAGGATATTTCCTAGTTGCCAGATTACGATGAGCAAGTATGATATCCTTGGATGTGTTTAATGGTGACCACAGGATGAAATGCGATGGTGATCATTACATTCTCATAACACAGAGGGGTTTGTTACTAGTGGCAATGGCGTGGAAAACAGAGGCTGCGTCTCTTGCACTCACAGATGCATGGCATGCACAGATCTCTATGAATGTTCTTTCATACTGAAGGAGAGTGCATGAATATATAATAGCACACCTTAACACTCCAACAGCTTATTTCTTTCAAACCAATATACGCTGCACACTCCACTTGAGTAGGGCCTTCAACATTGAAATCTGTTAGGTCATTCAATTTTTATTCACCTGTACTTGCCCTTTGCCACAATTTGTCATCCCACCAGTAAGTGGAGGTTTTATCAAGAACTAATTGCGACCTAGAGTAAACACTTTTTAGAGCATATTTATTTAGGTTATTTATATAAACCAAAGAGTTCCTGCATTGTAAGATATGTGCTTTTTATTCTGTTTATTGTTATTGTGGCAACTGATGTCTCATGTGTTTTTTCCAATGAACAGATGTGTTAATTATTTTTTATCTAGTGATCTTTTACCACTTCCTCAATGTGTGGTTAACGGATGTCAGCTTCATGTCAACTGTTTACAATGGTAGAAATTTGTTATTCAGGCAGGTGGAGGAAAGGGGGTGAAGATGATGTGTGTTTGGGAAAGGCAGATGTCCTTGTTTCACTTTCAAATATACATACAAAAGAGAACAATGTGCATAGAAAAGATAGTATGCATTAAGGTTCTGAAGTCTAAGACAAATATTTTTTTTTTAACAATGTATTGACATTAATAAAGTAATACTGTATACATTTATTTATATAGCACCAACATATTTCACAGCTCTGTACAATAGATAAACAGGACAAGCATTTAATTCTAAAAAAAAAAAACACATTTGACAAACAGGATCAGTAGTTGAAGAGGGCACTGCTCAAGCGAGCTTACAATCTATATAATATAGTATATAATTTTTTTTAAAAGTTCCAATTTATCATTAAAAAAAAAAGAAATTAGGAAATTGAATTATTTATTTAGAGATTTTAAAAAAATCAATGCAAAGATTTATAGAAAGATTTATACATTCTAATATATTTAATTCCATGAATAATCGCATCCAGGACTATGAATGTGTCATGCCATAATTTGTTTATAAAATTCAACGCAGGAGCTTCCAAATATAACTTTTTTTTTTTTTTTTTTTAAATGTAAACAGCGGAAACACTTTTCCAGATGCCAGGCACTTGTGCATGCAGAAGTGGACTGGCTGGAAGAAAATGATGGCACCTGCGAGGGACAGGTACGGGTTAATTAAACTCACCTTTTCCAACCCCCTGGGCCACTGGGCTCCCAGCAGTGATGTTACCAACAGGGGACTTTGCAAATTATGCAAATATATCAAGGGAGTGGCAAGGAGCTTTGGCCCCCATAGCCTCCAGGGAGAACATTGGCTGCAATTTTGGGAGGTTGGATAATGGCATTTCCACTTTCCCTTGAATATTTAATTAGAGCCCCCACCTGCTGCCCATGGGTAGGGATGGAGAGCTCATTAGGAACCCTAATTTATTATGAATTTAATAGCTCTATGGCTGTAGCTGGGGGGAACAACAGATCCTCATGAATTATTAAAATTAGAGCCCCCTTTCACCACTCATGGGTGGGCTGGAGGGACAATAGGTACCCTGTTTGATCTTATTAGAGCCCCCTTTCACTGGCTATGGTGGGGGTACAGGAGAAACAATATGTCCCACTGTTTTATGAATTTAATATTAGCCCCACTATGGGGGCTGTCCAACCCATTCTTTATTTTACAGGTCCCATCCAATTCCTACAGGTGTTGCTGAATGTATGGAGTGGTGTATTCTGTCTATTCTGATCTGCCCTAGGCACGACAAAGTTCGGCACCGCCCTACACCCTTCTAAATATCTCTTCCTGACAGACACACGCCCTCACTGACAGATACATAGTAATAAGCACACACATTGTTTAACCATCACACACTTTCACTTACACATTCACAGACATACTCACTCATTCACAGTTACACTCACTCACAGTTATACACACACTCACATTCACCTACAGACACACACACACACTGGCAGACACGCATTCACTGACAGACACATACACACTCACTGACAAGACACACATGCACATTCACTGACAGACACACATACTGACAGATACACACTCACTCACATACGAACACCCACTCAGTTTCAGACACACACACACTGACAAACACAGATACACACTCACTGACAGATATATGTACACTCACTGTCAGACACACACATTCACTGACAGACACACATACACTAGCTGACAGACATATACATTCACTGACAAACACATTCACTGACAGACACGCATACAAACACTAATAGGCACACATGCACACACTGACACATGCATACACACACTGACAAACACTCGCAGTGACAGATACACACACTGACAAACACATACACACTCACTGACAAACACATATACACGCTCACAGACAAACAATCTGGGTCAGATTGTGTTTGAAAACCGGTCAAGTGGGGCTGCTGCTGGCTGGGCTGGCAGGCTCATACTGGAGGCGGCGAGGGAGCTCTGATCTTCCTGTTTACCTCCCTTGGACGCCTCTCAGTGATGCTGGGGCCGGAGTGACGTCATATTCCGACTCCGGCATCACTGCGGTGCATGCGGAGCTGAACAGGAAAGAGCTCAGGGGAGAGTGCTCCCTCACTGCCCCCCTACATCTGCGCATGCCAGCCTTGGGAGGAGGGTGTGACGAGGTGCCCCTCGCCACTGGGCAACTGGAGAGGACTGATTGCCAGCCTCCTGCCACATGACTATGGCCCTGGGGTGTATGGCCCTTTAAAACCATTACTTGGGACATACTTTTGTATAAGGGAGGATAGATAGGTGGGAGCAGCATTATGTAGAGATTTGAAAGCAAGAACCAGAATTTTAAATTGAGCTCTATTGAATCTTTTGGGACACTTTGAATCCATTGGAAGGTGTGCCTCTTCCCCTCCCCCTGTCCCATTGTTCTCCAGCAGGGCGTTGTCCCAGGGACTCTGCCAAACCAGTTGGAACTGGCTGTTTTGCCCCTCCTCGTTCAAAATATAACTTCCACCCATCTCCTGAACCACTTAACCGATTCAAGTGAATTTTGGATATGTTTGTCCCCAAATTATGCTGGTTATAAAAATATATGTTTTACTGATATCGCATGTAAACTCTGTACGCTGCCTCACATGTCGTTTTATGTGTCATGGAAGCACCGAGTTTGGATCCCCATTGAATGACCAGAAATGTATTATCATCATCATGATCACCTGCAATTCCTCATATGTGGTATATCTCCTAACCTGTACCTGTGGTTTGCTATATGTGGGTCAGACAACAAGAATCCTGAAAACAAGATTCAGGGAACATCGAGGGGTAATTTTACATAAAAATAGAAAATCCCTGATAGCAAGACACTTTGAGGCTAAATATAATAGTGCTTTGAACAGAAAAAAAGCACTTATCTCTGCAGAAACATACTGGATATTCAAATTGAATACTCTTAACCCTTATGGGCTCAATGAAGACATTGAACAGACTGTCTAACAGGTTTTTTGTTTTCCTCTCTACCATAACCACTTTTGTTCATTTAGGTAGACTGGTTGCACATGGTGATTCTGTGCAGATCCCCCAGTAAGTCTATATATTTTTTAGTTATTTTTCTATAAATTTTTTCTATTATCATTTTCCACCATAACCATTACTTGCAGTTTTATATCTTAAGTTTTTGATATACCTCATGTGTTTATATATGGATGTAGGGACCACCTATTGACCCTCTGTTGTATAGTGAAGATATGACAACCCCCCTCATGATGGGGCAATTACAGATAGCCTCATTTTCCTCATTTGTTTTATTTTTCATTAATTAACTTGTTCAATTTGCTATGTCAATTAGCCCTGTATATCTGGTCACTTGATTGGTCCATAGTCTATCTATGGAGTTACCTCTTCTATTATGGTCTATTTGCCTACGAGGTTATGTCTATTTGATTTTTAATGTTATATATTTTTTTGTTTATTATTATCTATAGTTTATTATTGAGGAATATCCTCCTAATGTTTATTATTTACTGTTTTGAACTGAATTCGCTATACAGCATATGATTACAATCAACAGTCCTATTAGTAATGCATTGTATGATATCAATTAATCTATTAAGTAATGAGTATATAAGCTGATCTTTGTTGTGATGAACACCAGTCTTGAGAAAGTCTGATCTGCAGATGAAATGCCTTACTGTGATCTCAGCACAACCCCAGCACAACCTCTACCTCCTGGTTTACGGTTCCTGGTACCGGACATTCCTCAACGCGGTTACCTGAAGCAGGATTCAGCAGGGTCATTGGCGTGCTCCCTAAACCCGGTGTGCAGTGTGGCAAATAGGGTAAGTTACTGTTATTATTATTATTATGATAATTATAGAGCACCGTCAAATTCCGCAGCACTTTACAATGGGTGGACGAACAGACATGTAGTTGTAACCAGACAAGTTGGACACAAAGGAACAGAGGGATTGAGGGCCTGCTCAATGAGCTTACATGCTAGAGGGAGTGGGGTAAAATGACACAAAAAGGTAAGGATAGTATTAGACTAGTGACAGTTGCAGAAGAGGAATCAGTCAGGAGCTATTAATAGTTTAATTGATATGCTTTTATGAAGAAGTGGGTTTTAACGATTTTTTGAAGGAGTGCAGACTGAGTGAGCATCTAACAGAGGAGGGAAGAGAGTTCCACAGGAATGGTGCAGCCCTCGAGAAATCTTGAAGGCGAGCATCAGAGGTGGGAGTACGGACAGGAGATAGACGTAAGTCTTCAGCAGATCGTAAGGGCCTAGACGGGACATACTTTTGTATAAGGGAGGATAGATAGGTGGGAGCAGCATTATGTAGAGATTTGAAAGCAAGAACCAGAATTTTAAATTGAGCTCTATATTTTATAGGAAGCCATTGTAGGGACTGACAGAAGGGTGAGACATGGGAGGTGCGGGCAGACAGGAAGATGAGCCTCGCCGCCGCATTCATTATGGACTGTAACAGCGCTAGTTGGGAGCACGTAAGACCACTGAGAAGTGGATTACAGTAGTCAAAGCAAGAAAGGACAGTGGAATGGACCAACACCTTAGTCGCATCTGGTGTTAAGTAGGGGCGGATGCGCGCAATGTTTTTGAGATGGAAATGACAGGATTTGGCGATAGATTGAACATGAGGCTTGAAGGAGAGGTCGGAGTCAAAGAGAACACCTAGGCAGTGTGCCTGTGAGGTGGAGCTGGTGGTAGAACCGTTGACCTGGAAGGAGACAGACACAGGAGTAACAACACTTGAGGGAGGAAAGACCAGAATTTCAGTTTTGGTCAAGTTTAGTTTAAGGAAGTGGGCAGCCATTCAGTTAGAAACAGCAGAGAGGTAGTCAGAGACACTAGTCAAGAGGGACAGGGAGAGATCAGGAGAGGACAGATAGATTTGCGTGTCATCTGTATAGAAATGATATTGGAAGCCAAAGGAGCTAATGAGTTTACCAAGGGAGGCATTATATATGGAGAACAGTAGCGGACCAAGGACTGAACCTTGGGGGACACCAACAGAGAGGGGTTGGGGAGAAGAAGCAGAGCCAAAGAAAGAAACACTGAAAGAGCGCTGGGAGAGGTAGGAGGAGCACCAGGAGAGAGCAATATCTTGTAGACCGATATTGCGGAGGTTGAGAAGAAGCTGTTGATGATCAACAGTGTCAAAAGCCGCAGACAGGTCAAGGAGAATTAGGATAGAGTAGTGACCACAAGATTTTGCAGCGAGTAGATCATTGGATACTTTGGTCAGTGCCGTTTCCACAGAGTGCTTAGCACGGAAACCAGACTGAAGCGGGTCTAGCAGAGAGTTGGACTCGAGGAAGTCTGTCAATCTCGCATACATGATTTTTTCAAGGATCTTGGATGCAAAAGGCAGTAGCGAGATAGGATGATAGTTGGATGGGGAGTTAGGGTGAAGATTGGGCTTCTTTAGAATTGGGGTTACAGTTGCATGTTTAAAGGGCAATGGAAATATACCAGAGGAGAGAGAGAGATTGAGAATTTTAGTGAGAGGTGGAGAAAGAGAAGAAAACAGAGTACGGATGAGATGCGACGGAATTGGATCTAGGGAGCAGGTGGTGGGGCGGGAGGACTGGAGCAGAGCAGAAGTCCCTGTGTAACACCCTCAGCCTACCTGCACCCCCCCGGGCTGGTTTTTGAGCTCCTTGTCCCGTCTTCCTTTTATTTTACTAACTTTTGTTTGTTTTATCATTTTTATTTTCTGGTACCTATCAGCTCCTGTGTAGGAGCCCCTCACTGGAGCTGGATTCATGACTTTTTGGGGGAAACCCTTATTTTTACAAGGTGCTTTTGTGAATTATTACATTTCTATAACCAGTTTGACATGTTTATTTTTGCATTATGTGGAAAGGCTAATTAGTGATACTCTAGCCTGCTAAATTGTATCCGGCAGCTGTCAGGGATTTTATTTTTTGCTGGTTTACACTTAGCCACTTTGTATTCATTGCTTTGTGTGTTTTCTCGTTTTTACATTTTTTTGTTTCTAATAAATAGGCACTATATGTGTTTTTAAAGGACCACTATAGGCACCCAGACCACTTCAGCTTAATGAAGTGGTCTGTGTGCCAGGTCCAGCTCGGTTTAACCCTTTTTTTTTATAAACATAGCAGTTTCATAGAAACTGCTATGTTTATAAATGGGTTAATCCAGCCCTAGTGGCTCTCTCCTTGACAGCCGCTAGAGGGCTTCCGCGCTTCTCACTGTGATTTTCACAGTGAGAAGATGCCAGCGTCCATAGGAAAGCATTGTGAATGCTTTCCTATGGACCGGCTGAATGCGCGAGCGCTTGCGCATTCAGACGGTGACGGAAGAGGTGAGAGGACCCCGCCCGGCGCTGGAGAAAGAGGTAAGTTTAACCCCTTCCTCCCCCCAGAGCCCAGCGGGAGGGGGTCCCTGAGGGTGGGGGCACCCTCAGGGCACTCTTGTGCCAGAAAAACGAGTATGTTTTCCTGGCACTATAGTAGTCCTTTAAGCCAAAAAGAGTGTGTTTTCATGTTTTGTCTGGCTACTTAGAGTTGTGGCTGAGATTCTAGTTAACATGTTCATTGCTGAAGTGGTGGTATTATACTTATACTTATCTAGTTCTTTATTATTGGAGCGCTCACACTATCTTATTGTTGATCTTTCATCCTTAATAGTCGCTCATATTAGTTGTGAAACAGCCCACTTTATTTCCTAGTGATATTGTGTTATTTGTATATATTATTTATTATCCTCCCCGTTTTTGAGCCGTTCTTGTGTATTTATATCGCATGTAAACTCACAAAGTTACAAAAAAGGCATAAAAGTATGTTTTTTAGCTTGGAGATAATTGAGTTGATACAGTAATTAACTCAATTATCTCCCAAGCAGAGGGGAGGATTCTCATTGTAAAAAGTGGGTGTGCTTATCCATGTGCCTTTATTTTATTGGTTGTTAAATTTACAGTTCCACTGCCCCACAAGGTCCACGTGGGTGGGAACCTTGCTGGGAAAGTTGTATATAAGCAGGAATAAACGCTCATTGGAGTCAGTTCTCGTTGTTGAAAGGGAATTTGCAGCTTAATCGCTAGCTCTTTTCAGAGCTCTGCCTCTCTATTGCTCCAGGGATCCAGCGGAGGGGACTTCACTTCTCCACTACAGCCCAGCATCTTACCTGGAGGAAGGACGTCGCCAATGGCAGATACCTCTCTCTACCCTGGATACAGCGCTGAATGTATGTATGACTGCACTGACTGCTCGTTGTTTAGCAAACATGCCGCCACTCACAGCAGGGCACGTGGGGCATGGGAGAAAAATATAAATTATTTTTTAACTATTTGATCTGCTCGCTGTTTGTTCCATTAACAGCCAATTAGTCAAAATTAGGATTATGTCCTTCATAAATGGCTAAATCCAAAATATAAATGAAATATATAGATATCAAATTCTATATTTAAACAAATATAAGCCTTTAAGGGCTTTATTTAAATTGATCCAAACTGATAAAAAGATTTACTGGGAGTTGATAAACTGCTATAACGTATCAACAGGAATGTAATTAAGGTCATAGTACCCAGTTTACTTGTGATGCTATGTTGAACTACAAGGGCTTCTTACTCCATCTCTTCTTTGCGTACAGTAAGGTACCACAGGAATCTATCGAGTTCTATCGGGTACCAGATGCGCAGACTCCTAGATCTGTTAAAATATATATTGGGAGGGCAGATATTCAGTTGTGCAATCCCCACCTTTTGATTCTGAGCCTCACATCCAGTCTGTTGTCAAATCATGCCAATTCCACCTTAAAAACATTGCCCACATCCACCCCTTTCTTACACAAGATGCTACTAAAGAGCTCTAGTAATCTCTCCCATGGACTGTTGTAACTAGTAGTAGGGGGTGGAGGGAGTGGGGGAGGGGTCATAGCAATCTGCAAAATGGAGATAGGACAGAAAGGAGCTTTAGCTCAGTATAAGGGGGTGGAGGCGGGGGAAGGGCAAGCTCAGAACAGAGAAGGTATGTAATGTTGATAATTCACAAAAAGTACAGGTGACTCAGGATATTAATGTAGGCTTACAAATGCAAGGAGCCCAAATAACAAAATGGGGGAACTAGAGGCAGTAGCATACACTAAACAATATGATATAATAGGCATAACTGAAACATGGTGGGATGAGACACATGACTGGGCAGTTAACTTAAATGAGTACATGTTATTTAGGAAGGATAGGAAAAACAAGAAGGGTGGTGGGGTATGTTTGTATGTCAACCATGATTTAAAGCCAAATCTTAAGCAAGTGGAATGTGATGAGGAGAATGTGGAAGCTTTATGGGTTAATATCTGCTTGGGGGAAAAGAAGGGAAACCAACTATTGGTTGGAATATGTTATAAACCACCTAATGTTAATATTGACGAGGAACAACAGCTGTTTGAGCAAATTGAGAAAGCTGCAAATCTTGGTAACACTTTAATTATTGGATATTTTAATTACCCGGACATAAATTGGGACAGAGGGACTAGTAGCTCAGCAAAGGGAATTAGGTTTTTAAACTTGTTAAATGACACCTTCATGTCACAACTTGTACAAGCACCAACTAGAATGGACGCTTGTCTGGACCTGGTTTTAACAAACAACATTGATCTTTTGACCAACATTCAAGTAGGTGGGCACTTGGGAAATAGTGATCACAATATAGTGTTCTTTAAAATAAACTCAAAAAACAGGGGGGCGTGGCCTGGCTACTCACGAGAATGGACGCTTGAGAGATCAGCTCCGACGGGGGTAAATGAAAAAGCAGCGATTATAGCAGCACACCCGACAAAGTGACTCACATATGCCAGCAGAGGTGAGATCTGCACCGACTATGTCCCAACGCACGTCGAAAAAAGCAAAAATCCGACCGGCGGAGCTGCAAATAGCAGCACGCACACCGCCGCGAGGGAAGCCTCAAAATGGCGCCGAAGGCCCTAACTCACCCACAGCCTACTCCGAACGGAGTGACAGCACTTCAATATCCCTAGAGCCCACCATACCGGCCTCAGAGACAGCAATGCAGAGAATGATGCAAGAGCTACAGAATAATTTACAGGCTGAATTCTCCAAACTTGCCAGAGATGTCCGCACAGATATTAAAGCAATATGCGAGCGTACCGCCCAGTTAGAAGAAAAGACGGATTAAATAATAGCAGCACACAACAATCTCGCCTCAGGATACGAATCCTTTGACGCAAGACTAAACGCACTGGCAGCAAAAGTAGCGGATCACGAGGACCGTGATAGGCGAAACAATGTCCGCCTGCGCGGTATCCCTGAAGAGGTTAAACCTACTGAGCTGCATGATTATGCCACAGAACTATTCAAAGCTTTATGCCCTGGTCTTAAGGAGAACGAACTGCACCTAGATAGAATTCATCGATTACCGCGCCCTAAATTTCTTGCTCCCACCGCTCCGCGAGATGTACTGACGCGGGTTCACTACTTTACAACCAAAGACAAAATTATGAGAACGGCAAGGAACCCAAGCGCATTGCCAGAAAAATTCGCAGGTATCCAGCTATTTACAGATCTGTCGGTGGCGACATTGGCGAAGCGAAAGGAATTCACTCCTTTTACAGCGGCTTTGCGAAACGCAGGGCTCCAATATAAATGGGGATATCCCACCCGCCTAATAATAAGAGGAAATGGAGTAGAGTACCAAGTCCACACGGAACAAGAAGGACTCCGTCTTCTCAAAGACTGGAATCTCCCTATGCCCACACCAGGCGGGCACACCGAGGAGGGGAAACACCGACAATCTCCGAAGACGGTTACTAAAGACTGGCTTACGGTATCCAAATACAAGTGAAAGACACTTTCCCGTACATTCAAGCACAGGAGAATTGTACTCTTGTTCACACCGCCTGATGATACGTGAGCATTTATCACTGCTTAACGGCAGTTCTAACGCATGAGAAATGTATTGCTTTATTTAGTTGCTTTGTTTGTTTTTGTTGTGACCACTTATATTTTGTGGAGGCTGTAACATTTGGTGGGAGAGTCGACTTAGATATTGGGACGAAGTGATCCAGAGATAGAAGGGTAAAACACACGCATATAAATACCCTCCCCCCAGTTAGGCTCTAAAGGGCCACAAAACTATACCAGACGGCAGACACCTCAGATCTGCCACTCACATTGTACATAGTTGCCTTCGGGCGTTTCTCTCGAGGGATCCAACAGTAACTTTGGACATTTACGTCCGTTGATTAATGGTACAAACAATGCAGGATGCTCAAATATATCGACCATACCAGATATATACACAGTGTATACAAAATTGCATTATTAAGTCACAGTGGGAGACCCACATGGAATCTAATTTTGGGAATCTCTCAGAACTAAGAGGGAATGCAAGTGATAAGATTGCATGGGCCAGCATTTATGGGTGGCTGTTACTCCACACTCTCCACCAATATTCCAAAATATGCTTAGCAAGCTATGAGGACCGCCAAAGATGACTCTGAAAATAGTATCACTAAACGCTAAAGGTCTTAATTCCCCTCACAAAAGGAGACTTGCACTTGCTGAGGCTACTAAGCTTAAAGCCCAAATTGCATTTTTCCAAGAGACCCATTTCCTAACCACTAATATGCCCAAATTCACGTCGAAACAATTCCCCTTAGGGTTCCATGCAGGGTATGCCAAAAAGAAAAGAGGCGTCTCTATTTTAATACACAAAGATGTTACCTTTAAACTCTGCAAAAATGTCAGGGACAAGGAAGGCAGGTTTCTTCTACTACATTGCACTATAAATGATGACCCATTCACACTACTGAATGTGTATGGCCCACATGAGAACCAAAAGGACTTTATATCCAAAATTATTTCCTTAGCCCGCAAATTCCCTTGCAACAACTTGATTATTGGGGGACACACGAATTTTATACTTGACGGCACTGCTGACACGACCTCCACATACACAGTAAATCGCTCCACCTCACGAAAACGCGCCCACATTACCCAACAAATACGGCAGACGTTACATGGAGCAGGCCTTCTAGACATATGGAGGATACTACACCCATCTGAAAAGGATTTCACTTTTCATTCGCAAGTTTACAATTCATACTCCAGAATAGACAGATTCCTAATACCCACCGCTATGACTCGTACGGTATGCGACGTCCAGATAGGGATGATAACGTGGTCGGACCATGCACCTATACTGCTCACACTACAGGAACACTTTCCGCATAAGGGCCAGGGCACATGGAGAATCAACGAAACACTACTACGCGACCCACACATAGTTAAAAGCATTGAAGAAGACATTCACACTTTCTTTGACATCAATAACAAAGGAGAAACCTCTGTTGACACAAATTGGCAAGCACATAAAGCAGCAATCAGAGGGAGCCTGATTAAACATGCTAGCTGTAAAAACAAACAAAGAACTGCTAAATATACAGACCTCATAAAACAAATAACGGAGTTGACCCATGCGAACAAATTAAACCCTTCCCAAACGCATTACGAGGCCCTTAGAACTTTGCAAACGCAACTAAATGATGCAGAGATAGAGAAGACTAATTACATCTTACACAAACACCGACATACATTTTTTGCACATGGTAACAAATCTGGCGCTGCACTTGCAGCGAAGCTCAAGGAGCACCTACCAAACTCCAAAATAGCCTATCTACTGACAGCTGACAAACAAAAAATTTTGCACCCGCAACATATAGTAGACGAATTTGCAAAGTACTACAGTACTTTATACAATCTCAAAGAGGCAGAGGATACACACGTCCCTACTCCCACCCAGATCCAGGATTTCCTATCTAAAATCAGTCTACCTACTCTCACAGACGAGGAAATAGCACAGATCACAAGCACATTCACGGAATCAGAGGTGGCTGCAGTGATAAATAAACTACCCACACATAAATCGCCGGGCCCTGACGGTTTTACAAACCTATACTACCAAACATTTGCAAAGGCACTACTCCCACATATGACACAGTTTATAAACCACTGCTACACCAACGGTTTTATGCCGAAAGAGATGCTTCAGGCGCATATCTCCACATTGCCGAAACCAGGCAAACCTGCAGACGTATGCCCAAATTTCCGACCCATATCCCTCCTGAACTGCGATACTAAGATTTATGCAAAATTGATAGCAGAGAGACTGAAAGGAATACTGACACGTATTGTCCACAACGATCAATCAGGTTTTATTAAACAGAGACAAGGGTCTGACAACACCAGGAAAATACTAAATATTTTAGCCCATATGGAAACCCATCACATGGAAGGTCTTCTCCTAGCGCTGGACGCGGAGAAGGCCTTCGATAGACTAAATTGACACTACATGGAACAGGTGCTGCTTAAGTATGGTTTTCCAACGTCTTTTATCAACGAGGTCATGGCATTATACACACAACCTTCAGCCAGAGTAACAAATGCGGGCTTCGTCTCGAATCCATTTACTATCACAAATGGGACGAGGCAGGGTTGCCCACTGTCACCCTTATTGTTCGTACTATCCCTCGAACCCTTAGCATATATAATCAGAAACCACGCTCAGATCAGGGGTATACGGGTGGGAACTGAAGAATTTAAATTGGCTATGTTCGCTGACGACATTTGTATAACCCTGGCAGATCCGGGCGACTCCCTGACCGGGCTTTTGGGTGTTCTCGAGGAATAAAGTACGATCTCATACTATAGACTCAACCAAGCGAAGACCCAGGCCCTACCAATTAGGCTGCAGACAGGGACGGTACGATCACTGAAGCACAAACACAAATTCGATTGGAGAACTACCCACATAACGTATTTAGGAGTGAAAATAGCACCCACACTTAGGGGAATTAGCACACTCAACTATTCTTCGCTCCCACAAATATGCCGGCAATCACTACACAAATGGAAAGATGTATGGTTATCCTGGCTCGGAAAGATTAATGCTGTAAAAATGGTGATCCTCCCCAAACTTTTATATGTGTTTAGGATGCTCCCTCTTCCCCTGTCCGCCTCAATAGGCAAACAACTACAACGTCTTATAAACAACTATACTTGGGAAAACAAGAAACCACGCCTCCCGAGCGCACTTCTACAAATTCCAGTAAACCGAGGGGGGACAGGCCTCCCTAACATAGCGCTTTACCACAAGGCTGCAATACTGGAAGCGGCAATCAAACTGCATGCCCCCGCAAATACGTTCCAATGGGTGGACATGGAGAATAATTATTCTCCGTGCTCCTCACTGGTAGATATTCTGTGGACACCCAAACATCTTAGGGACAAAAACACCTCAATGTTCCCTACATCTAGAATCACACTCCAAATATGGGACCATCTCCATAAAAGATATGCGAACATTACGAAATTTTCCCCATGGGCCCCGATAACAACGCTCCACTCCATCTCCCCATGGCTATCTTTACATAAATGGAAAGACAAGGGCATCACACACATCACTGATATATATCAAAACGGGACCATTTTGCCCTTCCCTGATATTCAACTCAAATATGCCTCACCGTCTAACTACATATTCCCATACCTCCAACTCAAAAGCATAATTAAAGAAAGGGTCCACATCCCGACCCAACATGCTCCCGCCCCTAACCTTGACCTTATAGCTATAAATAATAGGTGCCGGAATGCACCAATCAAAGCCAAAGCATTATCCCTTGGATATGCCGCCTTAGGACAACACCCCCTGCTGACGAATTTCGCTTTTACGATACAATGGCATAAAGAAGGACTCCCACAGCTCAATACTGAGCAGTGGCTACGGTCACTTGGGGCACTCAAAGGCGTGACTTGTTACTCACACATAGAGGCACATAAGAAACTTGTGTATCGGTGGTACCTCACACCCCACAAACTACAGAAAATTTACCCAGCAACACCCAACACATGCTGGCGATGCTTTAAAGAGGTAGGGCAATGAGGCATGTCTGGTGGGATTGCCCAAATATTTTACCACTGTGGACTGAAGTCCAATGACTGGGCAACTCTCAAGGAATTATGAAGGGAACTCTAACACCCAACATGAGTCTGTTCTTCCTGATGCCTGCTCAAATTCCTGCACAGGACAAACAACTACTGATTATAATAACACTTGCTGCGCGCAACCTTATCGCGTGCCACTGGAAACAACAGACATGCCCAACGCCACAGCAATTACTCCACAAGACACAACAGTATCTGAGACATGAACTGATGATTACTACGACACCCAGGCGTAGAGATATCACACACAATAATTGGCAAAGATGGAGTAAATACATAACTGACAGTCCGCACCCAGGGTGACTTGTCAGGCACACATAGGCTACCTTACGAACCGGGACGGCTTCAAACACGATATGACATAAGATGCACGACTGACTAAGACAAGCTGGATGCACATGTGTATGCATTAATGAAAGCACAAAATGTAATGTTTATAACAGACTGTATGTAACTGAATATTGGTAACTACTACATTGTAACTATCTATTCTATGCTTGTGGATACCCCTCTCCCCCCTTTTTTTCTTTCTGTACCCCCCACATGGTTGTTTTGAAAACTCAATAAAATACGAATTTGAAAAAAAAAAAAAATAAACTCAAAAAACAAAAGCACATGGGGTATACTAAAACATATAATTTTAAAAAGGCCAATTTCAATAAGTTAAGGGCAGCTTTACAATATATTGACTGGCATAAACTCTTTAGTGAAAACACTGAGGATAAATGGAACATCTTCCAACAAATATTAGAAAAGTACATTTCTCAATATGTACCATTGGGTAATAAATATAAAAGAAACAAATTAAAACAAATGTGGCTTAGTAGAGAAGCAAAAAAAGAAATTAAAAATAAGAAAAGAGCTTTTAAAGCATTTAAAACGGACAAATCAGATGCATCTTATAAAAGATATAAGGAAGCCAATAATGCGTGCAAAAAGGCAATTAGATTCGCTAAACTTCAAAATGAAAAAATTATAGCTAATGAGAGCAAAACCAACCCAAAGCATTTTTTAAAGTAGGTACACTAAAAACTGAAACGGGGGTGTTAATTAAAGACCAGGAGAAGGCACGAATTTTTAATAACTATTTCTACTCCGTATATATTAAGGAAGAACCCATGGCAATAGATGTGCAAATGATTGCTACTAAAAACTTGCAGAATAATTGTAATTGGTTAACTCAAGACAGGGTGCTGCAGCAACTAAAGAAAGTTAATATAAACAAAGCTCCAGGGCCTGACAGTATCCATCCACAAGTACTTAAGGAACTAAGTGTAGAAATAAGTGAACCTTTGTTTTTAATCGTTCTAGATTCTTTTCTTTCAGGAAGTATTCCGGAGGATTTGAGGAAGGCAGATGTGGTTCCTATATTCAAAAGGGTTCAAAATCCTTGCCTGGAAATTATAGACCTGTGAGCTTAACTTCTGTGGCTGGGAAAATATTGAAAGGTTATTAAGGGATAATATTCAAGAATTCCTTGAGACAAACATGGTTATCAGCAAAAATCAGCATAGTTTTATGAAGCACAGGTCATGTCAAACTAACTTGATTGCGTTCTACGAAGAAGTAAGCAGAAGTATAGATCAGGGTGTTGCAGTGGATGTGATCTATTTGGATTTTGCCAAAGCATTTGATACAGTCCCACACAATAGATTAGTGTTCAAACTCAAGGAAATCGGATGAAAATGCTTGTTCTTGGGTAGAACATTGGCTTAAAAACAGAGTACAAAGAGTTGTCATTAATGGTAAATTTTCAAGCTGGGCAGAGGTGGCAAGTGGTGTCCCTCAGGGGTCTGTTCTGGGATCCCTTCTATTTAACATGTTTATAAATGATCTTGAAGAAAGCATTGAAAGGCATGTTTCAGTGTTTGCAAATTACACAAAACTCTGTAAAAGAATACAATGTGAGCAAGATATTACTTTGCTGCAGAGGGATTTAGATAGACTGGGGGACTGGGCACTCAAATGGCAGATGAAATTTAATGTTGAAAAATGCAAAGTTATGCACTTCGGCGTAAAGAATACACAAGCAACGTATACCCTTAATGGAAGCGAATTAGGGATAACCACACACGAAAAGGACTTGAGAATAGTTATAGACAACAAACTATGCAACAATGTGCAATGTCAATCAGCAGTGGTCAAGGCCTGTAAGGCTTTTTCATGCATGAAAAAGGGCATTCATTCTCGGGCTGAGAATATCATTTTGCCTCTTTATAAATCACTGGTAAGACCACATATTGAATATGCTGTGCAATTTTGGGCACCTGTTCTTAAGAAGGATATTATGGCACTAGAAAAAGTGCAGAGGTGGGCTACAAAATTAATAAAAGGAATGGAAAATATCAGCTATGAAGAAAGGTTAACAAATGTAAACCTATTTAGTTTAGAAAAACGTCGCCTGAGAGGGGATATGATAACATTATACAAATATATTCGGGGCCAATACAAACCATTGTGTGGAAATCTATTCACAAACCGGACTTTACATAGGAAACGAGGTCATGCGTTTAGACTGGAAAAAAAGAAGATTTCGTCTAAGGCAAAGGAAAGTTTTTTTTACTGTAAGAACAATAAGGATGTGGAATTCTCTGCTTGAAGAAGTGCTTTTATCAGAGGCCATACAGATGTTCAAATGGCTACTAGATGCATACTTGCCAAAACAGAATATTCAAGGATATAATCTTTCAATGTAGGGTAATAACTGCTTGATCCAAGGATAAATCTGACTGCCATTCTGGGGGCAAGAAGGAATTTTTTTCTTAGCCTGTTGCAAAATTGGAAGTTCTTCAAACTGGGTTTTTTTGCCTTCTTTTGGATCAACAGCAAAAAATAAATGTGAGGAAGTCTGAACTTGATGGACGCAAGTCTTTTTTCAGCTATGTAACTATGTAACTCTCTGCTACTTGGTCTTCCCAATAGCCGTATTGCCCTGCTACAGTCTGTAATGAATGCTGCTGCAAGACTGATCTTCCTTTCTAGTCGGTCCTCTCACACCTCACCCCTCTGTCAGTCCTTACATTGCCTTCTTGTATCCTATAGGAGTCAATTCAAACTGCTAACCCATACTTATAAAGCACTCAATAATCTTAGCCCCTCTTATATCTTCTCACAGAGCCATAGGTATGCCCCTTCTCAGTCTCTCCGCTCTGCCCGCGACCTTCTTCTGTCCACTGCTCGCACCCGTACGGCCAACTTGCGCTTGCAGGACTTCCTATGGAATAGTCTGCCTACTGCCATCAGACTCTCCCACAGTCTTCAATCATTTAAGAAGTGCCTTAATACCAATTTCTTTAGGAAAGTCAATGGCCTCCCAGACTAACCTCTACCTCACATACCTGTCTCTTGCTCTCTCCTAAAGGGCAGCACTCTACTCTCTCCTCAAGCGCTGCTTCACTCCCACCTAATTTGACTGCTGTTTCCTGTCCTAATGTGTTTTATAGACTGTAAGCTCGTTTGAGCAGGGCCCTCTTCAACCTATCGTTTCTGTAAGTTTTCTTGTAATTGTCCTCTTTATAGTTAAATCCCCCGTCTTATAATATTGTAAAGCGATACAGAATCTGTTGGCACTATATAAATGGCGATAATAATGATAATAACTGACTTTTTAGGGGAACTTTCTAGCCTTGGCTTGTAATGGCAGCTAGACTGGTCAATAGCAGTATTTGTGCACACTTTCTTAAATAAAGTTTTTGTGTTGACTTCACCATTTTTAATAAAAATGTTTAAATCTAAAAAATTAATAGACTCACTACTGTACTCATGTTAAAGAAAATCCTCTCTTATTGTTATTCAGATGATTAATAAAAGCATTGGGAGAATCTTCTGAGCCTCCCCATATAAAAAATAGATCATCTATGTATGTAAAGTACGAAACCAGATTTGCTGCCAGGTATTTGCTGCCCAAATGGCTTGAAATTCCCAATCTGCCATAAAAAGGGTGGCATAGCTGGGGGCAGGAATTACTCTCACAATTACAAGATAAAGATACTTACAAGAAGTTTGCCAGTAACCCTACATTCCTAATTATGCAGCAAGTGGCTGCTAGTGTACAGAGAGGAGGAGAAGCGAATCATCTCACTACGGATCTCCAAAAAAATCTAATTCAACAATCACCCGTGCATAAGAGCATAGATCACCTGCCAGTAGACATGTGCAATTCGTTTCAGTCCAAATATGAATTCGGACGAATTTCGGGCAATTCGGACATTCGGGTACTTCCGAATTGCCGAAGTGCCGAATTTCAGAGGTCCCGAAGTTCCGAAATTACCGAATTTCCGAAGTGCTGAAGTGCCGAAGTTCCGAAGCACAGTATTGCCTAAGTACTAATATACTTACCCAGTGAAAGAAGAAGAATGTTACATTGTATACAATTTTAAATAAAAAGTATGCAAACATAGACAGGATTCAGCTGTAAGCATTTGCAACACTTACAACAATCAAGTAACACACATTCAAATAAAATGTAAGTTATTTGGCCAGTCAATGTAATGACAGGAATGAATAAGTAGATATCTCCCTAATTCCCACAACATTAGGGAGCTATCTACTAAAAGGCTGAAAGACCTAAATTGGTCTTTCAGCCAAATTTACTAATAGTAAAATAGTAAAGATTACTTAGTATTAGTAAATTATGCCCCTACTCGCTATACCGCGAGTAGGGGCATGTCTATTAAACAGAGAGCAGCCTGTGGCTGCTCACTGTTAAAAAAAAAAAAAAGCCCCCCCCTCTTGAGCGGGGGGACTAAACTAAAGGAGGGACCTATTGCCCCCCCCGGCCCCCACCCGAGTGGCGGGTGGGGCCCTAATGTAAAATAATGGGGTGGACCCAATGTCCTTCCCCCTGGCCCTTATTAGTATTTAGTATTTAAGCTTCTTGACCAAATTAGCTTACCAGACACAACTACCCTCCTGGTGACGTGCAATGTCAAAAATATTTATACTGTCATTCCGCACAAGGATGGTATTGATGCCATGAGGCAGGTTCTACAAAAGTCATCAGTGTATTCTGGTCCCCTCCATAGAATATGTATTACTACTTTTGGAGTTAGTCCTAACCCAGAACTACTTCAGATTTGAATATACCTTGTACCAGCAAACATCGTGTACATCCAGTGGCGGAACTACAGCGGTCGCAGCTGCAACTGGGCCTACCATTACAGGTGGCCCTGCGGACTCCTGAGATCGCGGTAACATATGTTGTGGCCCTGGCCCGCGAGGTAGAACCGCCGGGGCCGCACGTTAAGGGGCCCATCGGGTGGCCCATGCTCTTAGGGTCACCTGATGGAAATCAATTTCCTGGGGGCCGGTCAGCGCTGTGGTGCTTTAGCAGTGCGACCAGGCCCCTGAGATGACATCACAGCTGGGAGGAAGTGGCTGCCTCGGTCTCTCAACCCAGCTTACACTGGGAGCCGTGCGGGAGGAAGAGAGGACAGAATCAGAGTGGGACCTCTGACTCCCATCAGGCTGGGCCACCACTGGACCCCAGGGAAAGCCACCCTCCTGCACCTAAAAGGTAGGAAACAGGAGTGTGACTAATTTTTTTTGTATATGTGTGTGTTTGTTTGTATGTATGTATGTGTTTGTGTATGTGTGTCTGTATAAATGTTTCTCTGTATGTGTGTGTGTTTGTATGTGTGTATGTATGTGTGTTTATATGTACATGTGTTTGTATGTATATATGTGTCTGTCTGTCTGTATATGTGTGCCTGTATGTGTGTATGTGTGTGTCTCTGTATATGTGTGTGTCTGCATGTGTATCTGTTTGACTGCATGTGTGTGGGGGAAATGTATGGGAGTGTAGACGTATGGGGGTGTGGTGGGGGGTAGACGTATGGGAGATTCCCAGGGCAGATCATCATATATGTGCAAAATTTTTATATATAAAAGTGCAATCTAAAAGCAAGAAACACTCAAAGTGATTTAGTGCGTATAATTAGTAACAACTTACACTAAAGGCATTGATGAAGTAAAATACAGCTCCAAATGGGGAACATAAAAAGGAAACAAAATAGATTAATCTGACTAGGGGTTGACGTCATCACGAAAACTCCGCCTCCCGGAAGTATCCCGATCGAGAGTACAGCCAGCCCTGGAATGTGTACAACACGAAACACAGAAAAGCCGGCGGTTACACTTATTCCAGGACGGACTGTTATCATAAGGGATCCGGTGATATTTTACCTACAGCAGTGTGTTTTAAGTGTTATATTGGAAATAAAGATGGTGCTTACCTATCTATATTGGCTACAGTGGAAGTCTGTGTTTTGGGCCATTACAGTTAGAGCAGACATTTCTGCTCTATGTTTGTGAGTTTATTTCCAATTTCTTTAGCATTTTGGTTATTATTATCTTATATTATATATGCTATTTTTTTGTTTCCTTTTTATGTTCCTCATTTGGAGCCGTATTTTACCTCATCGATGTCTTTAGTGTAAGTTGTTACTAATTATATGCACTAGATCACTTTGAGTGTTTGTTGCCTTTTAGATTGCACTTTTATGTATAAAGATTTTGCACATATATGCTGATTGTCAGCATACACTTTGTCACTTTATGTGAGTAGGGTTGCATATTGCACTTTTGTACTGTATATGTTGTGCTGCAAAATGACAACCTATCTTTTTGAATATGCACTTTAATTTATAATATAGCTAGTCAGTTAGCTAGTGTGTATGCGTCTGTTCATGAGAGTGTGTGTGTGTGTCTTAAGCACTTACCTTTCTCCAGCGCCAGACTCCCTTGGCACTGGGGATCTCTCTGCCCCGATCCTCCTCTCAGCTCCGAATGTGCATGCATTGTCAGAATATTTATATCAGCAGACATTTTGTGCTAAAAAAAAATTAAAAGTGTATATTGCCACAGCCACTCAGAACAAAGCAGACTCCATTTTGCTATCTTCAGGATAACAAAAACACATAATTTCCTTGATTTCTTCTTACTTCTGTAACTAGCCACTTGCTTGAGCTGAGGAATGTATTATATAAACAAACCAAGATAAGCAATGAAGCAAGGGGGATGGAACGCTCTGTCTAAAATGTTAATGGAATAGATGCATATCTAAACACAGACACTAGTGACAGAGAAGACTAAGTAATTAATTTTACATTCTAAATCTTATAAGGCACCATTGTAAGAAAGGGTTGAAATTGAGTTTAGAACTGTCAATTTTACAAGTTACAACCAAGGTAGTTGCCAGTAAGACTGAAACAAATGCTTTGAACTGACAGCAAATCTAAGTTATGGTAGTCATTTTAGAGAAGCCAAATGACGTCAAAATCGTCATCAGGAAAAGTTAACTCTTTCCTGGATAGGAAGGTTTCGTTAGGCGAGACTGCCATTTATGGATCAAATACCTAAATTGCGTCCCATAGATTGCCACACCTACGGCTTCCTATTGGGTTATCAACTAATGACGTACAGAGAGTCTGGCCCTTTAAAAGTTAAGACAAAGGGAAGAGAGGGAGAGTTGGAGTTGGAGACAGAGATGAATTGAAGTTTGGGCATCCAAGTTGGACATGCAGAGAAATCCAGGACAATATCTGGGACTAACACTCTACCCTTAAACTCCCTTGGACATAAACTCTTAAACTCTTTAATACTTTTTCTATCACTCACGCACCTCCATACAACCAATCAAGTTTCTGGGACTACCTACTCATCTGATGAGAATATCTACATAACTGGAGAATAGGATACTATATGCCTAGGAGGATCTAGCCAGCATTGAAAGGGTTACTCAGTTGATCTAACTGTTAGCCACGGTTTTATGGCCCTTTGCTGTGAAAAGCTTCACTTTTTGTCTGTAAGCATACCCTCATAAATCGTGTAAGTCTTGACAGAAAATGCTGTTTAGCCATTGAAACATGTATACCCATTCCATTGTATTGCATATTATGTTATACTAAATATTCACTGATTATTATTATCATACATGCTGCCTAATATTATTGTTAATTATTGGTCATAATAAATAAATCTATTTTTATAACGCATTGTGATCATTAATTGTATGGAATACTTTTCACTTACATGATAAACGATCTCTAAGATCTAGGAGAATTGAAATAGTGGGCAATTCTCGCCTGCTTAAAATTATCATCCCATAAATATCCCCACAGCGTGGCAAGAGCCGCGCGCGCATTCAAACCGCCCATAGGAAAGCATTACTCAATGCGTTCCTATGGACGTTCAGCGTCTTCTCACTATGATTTTCACAGTGAGAATCGCAGAAGCTCCTCTAGCGGCTGTCAATGAGACAGCCACTAGAGGCTGGTTAACCCTCAGTGAAACATAGCAGTTTGAAAACTCTGAAACTGCTATGTTTTCAGCTGCAGGGTTAAAACTAGAGGGACCTGGCACCCAGACCACTTAATTGAGCTGATGTGATCTGGGTGTCTGTAGTGGTCCTTTAAGTGTATGTGTATCTGCATGCACTGGCACAAACACCGCGGTCCATGTGTTGTGGCCCCTGCCCGCGCAAAGTAAGTGTGCGCGCGGCGGGGGGGGGGTAGGGCCACGGATCAGTTTTTGCACCGGGGCCCCATGGGTTGTGTGTACACCACTGTTTGTAGTGACAGCGAAACCAGCAGCTGCCACAGTAGGAAATTTATTTCCACACCTTTCTTTTGCTCTCACCTCCAGAGGCCTCTTTAGATCTGGTGAGTGTCTGCTGAAAATTGGCTAACTCCCAAGAATCTGTTTTCAATGATTATATAACCAGAGGTGTTGATTTGCTTATATTACCATGAATTATGAATTGTGAATTGGAATTGCAGATTGTAGAGCTCCTCTGTGCCTGTCAGGTTGTAATTATTGTTGGCCTGGTGATCTGTTGTATGATTTAAATACATGATCTGCGTTTAGTGTAAGTTGACAGCTGTGTCTGTGTTAAAATTCCTCTGCAGGGGTGTGTTGTGTGTTTTTTTTATTGTTTATTACACTGTGACAGACTGCTGCCTCAACTTGAGGGTCTAGCTAACCCTGGTATAATAATGGGGAACTCTTAAAGTCTCCCTGGGGAGGATACAACAGCTCTAGAAATCGTGAAAAATCACCATGGCAAGGATTCTGTGACAGGCATTACATCTATGCTAAAGAAAGCAGGAAGGACTCCAGAAGGGAGCTTAGATCCACAAGTATGGAATGAACTCATGGCAAATTATAAAGGATGGCTTGAAGATAAAAAGTTAACAGAGAAAGCTTAAAAATGGCATGATACTGCATGATGCTTCCCTTAAGGAAACTCAGCCCCCTCCGTACCGAGAGAAGGCACACAGTACAGATGGTAATACAAAAACTCCACAGGTGTCCACAGTAAACCCAGTCACTGGACACTCTTATTGGACTTGCCCCACCTGCCAGTAGAATAAACCTTGGTGGGAAGAGAAGTGCCGTAGCTGTGGTTTCCCTAGACCCCCACAGCATATGCTTATGCCCATGCAGTTGAAGGGTGGGTTGGTGCCTGCCAGTAGTGGCTCAACTGTGGATATTGACCAATCTGGTGCAAGTGGAAATGATGCCCCTAATCAGGTGTCAACACCTCAATTAAACCAGTGGTGGGAGTATAAACCATGGTCGTCCTCAGACCAACTGGCCATGTTAAAACAATTGCCCAATACCGAGGACTCTCCTGTGCTCCTTGTAAACATGCTTGAGAGTATTAGAGACACTTATAACTGCTCTTGGGGTGATTTAGAATCTCTGGTCCATGCTAAAGCCGGTCCAGTCATGGTCAGCATTATCATAGATACTACTGATGTTGAAAAGGGGATTTACAAGCTGCTCCACATAACAGAGACCAACAGTGGTTTTTGAAACAATAGATAGATAGATAGATAGACACCTTTCGCCTCAGCAATTCTAAAGGGAAAATGCTGCTTAGCACAGTCCTAAATGTAAATGAATATTGAATCAGCGCTTGGTGACCAGTAGACAGCTATATATTAAAAAAAGGGGGACAGCCACCTAAGGGTATGATGTTCCCTCAAAAACATCAATAAAAAATACACATGTAAAAAACAGAAATACTACACAACGGAACGGATTGCCCCAGTGTCTAAAAGAAAGGATATTTTTCTGTTACCGAGCCGGTCCTGAGCCATTAGACAAAACAATAGAGTTAAGGGGCACTGGGTTGTCACTGTCCCATGGTGCAGCAGAAGGATTTGCATTCTGAGGAGTCTGATCCTGGCTAGGATTATCTGAGGAGTCTGATCCTGGCTAGGATTATCTGAGCTGGATTGCTGACGCTGCTAATTTTGTTTAGGCAGACAGCAGAAATTTCTCCTAATGTGTCCTATTTTTTGCAATTCCAGCATACAGGACCAGTACGCTGGCTCTGATTTGAACGGTGGGGGCTCCTAGACGTCTATTTTACCATTAGTCTAGTGGCACCTGCTATTTTATCTCCAGAAAGACGGTGGTTGGCTTCAATACCTTTAGCAACTTTTACAAGGTCAGGGTAAGTTAGGCTACGCCACTTAGGTCTAGCTATTTTAAGGGCTGTGCTGAGTAGGTGATGCAAGCCATCCATGAAACAGTTAACCAGCTGTCTAGTGGATAGGGGTTCCTTTCTGAGTATCTAAGATTTTTCCACTCGAGGTGTAAATGGGCAAAGGATTTTTCAACTGATTCCCCTTTTTTCTTGGGTAAGATCTGTGAGTTGGGATGAAAGGTTGGTGAGCCTGGACTATGCACATTTTTCTAAGGCTTTAATGTAAGGTTCACCAGATGTGAAAGAAAAATTGGATGATGATGTTCACAATACTGTTTGGATCACATTTTTCTAATATAGTCTAGGACTGTGCTCATAGGCGTGTGCAGCCTATTGCATTAGGGTGTGCACCCTAAAGCACAAACACACGCCGCATGTGTGTGTGTGTGTGTGTAAGTCATTGTTTTGCTACAATATGTTGATGATTTGCTTCAGACCAGGAGTCATGATGTTGCACAGACCAGGAGTCATGTACAAAGCACAGCCTGTCTTTACTAACTTTTTTGGCACCAGCAGGGTGCAAAGCTACCAAAGCCAAACTGCAGGCATGCACTCCCACTGTTATCTTTCTGAGAAGAAAGGAAGCTTGCAGTGCAAAAGTTGCCCCTTCCATGCAGTCTAGCCCAGCTATGTACTTTCCTTGGCCTATTCTCCTATTGTCGCCCATGGTTTCACTCTGCAGCAATTAACATGCAGTCCTTGTATGACTGCCTCACCCTTGACCCCTTCCATTTAATCCCTGAAGCAGAAGAAGCCTTTTACACTTGTATGCTGCTTGTCACCTCAGCTCCAGCACTGAGTCTACCAGATTATAGAAAGCCCTTTTCCATGTTCTGTACTGAACAGGCAAGCTATGCTACAGCCGTAATTACCCAGGATCATGGGCAAAAGCAAAAGCCAGTTGCCTATTAATCAGCCAGGTTAGACCCTGTTGCTAGAGGTGCCCCTTCCTGTTTTAGGTCAGTAGCTGCTGTCACTGCTCTGCTAGATAAAGCAACAGACATTGTTTTAGATATATATATATATATATATATATATATATACACACACACACTGCTGTGTGTGCTGTTAGTGTGCTGTGTGAGGGTGCTGTGTGCTGTTAGTGTGATGTGTGTGTGAGGGTGCTGTTTGTGTGTGAGGGTGTTTGTGTGTGTGTGTGTGTTTGTCCTGTGAGTGTGCTGTTTGTGTGAGTGTTGTGTATTTGTGAGGGTGCTGTTTGTGTGTGTGTGTTTGTGAGGGTGCTGTTTGTGTGTGTGTTTTTGTGAGGGTGCTGTTAGTGTGCTGTGTGTGAGGGTGTTGTGTTTTTTTAAAGGTGATGTGTGTGTTTGTGAGGGTGCGGTAAGTGTACTGTGTGTGTGTGTGAGTTGTATGTGTGTAGGTGCTGTATGTTTGGAGGGATTGTGGAGGTGGGGGCAGATTAGTAAATCCTTGCTGTCATGTGCCATCCCTGGTGGTCCAGTGAGAGTGAACTCTAGCCTGCGGGGCTAGAGTTAACTCTTGCGAGATCTGAGCGTTGCCGCAGCAACGCTCAGATATCGCGAGAGGAACCTGGTGGAGCTTCTGTCTAGAGCTCCCTGGGTCCTCTCCTGCCTCCCTCCATGATGCTGTGGGCCGGTGAGGTAGATCTTTGGTCTCCCCACCGGCCCATGGAGGCTTAGAGCAGAGCCGGCATTCAGATAGCGCCGGCTCTGCGTGAGCCGACAGGGGAGATCGGGATTCCCACCCACCCAAAAAATTATATACACGTGTGTGTGCATATATATATATATATATATATGCTGCGTACACACACAGACACACACACATTCACTCACAGACACACACACTCACAGACACACACACATTCACAGACACACACTCACACACATACACTCACAGACACACACACATTCACACACACATACACTCACAGACACACACATTCACAGACACACACTCACACACAGACACACACACATTCACAGACACACACACATTCACAGACACACACTCACACACAGACTCACACACATACACTCACAGACACACACTCACACACATACAAATTATTATACTTTAATAATACAATGTCCACCCAGCCTCCCTACCTGGAGTGCTGGCATGGACTTGTCCCTGGGGTCCAGTGGGGCGGGCGCCTCTCTGCATCTCAGCTGCGGCGAGGGAGCTGTCTGCTCTCTGCTCCCTCTCGCCGCGCGGGCTGTCTGCTGTAGCTGGGAGCTGGAATATGACGTCATATTCCGGCTCCTGGCATCAGCGTGCGGCGAGAGGGAGCAGAGAGCAGACAGCTCCCTCGCCGCGGCTGAGATGCAGAGAGGGGGGTATCCATCACCTCTTGCCTTCCCCATGACAGGGGCAAGAGGTGAGACAGGGGGCGCTGAGTGCCTGCAGGAACAGTGTTACTGCTCAAAAAAAGTGCAGGAATGCTGTTCCTGCATGACTCAAACCATAGGTGTGCCACGGGGATTAGGGTGTGCCCAGGCACACCCGGCACACCCCGTGCGCACGCCTATAACTGTGCTAATGTAAAAAACAGAAATACTAGGTCGCGCCAGAAAATAAAATGAACAACGCGTACTTACATAAAATGAATAAAGTCCTGATAAAAGGTGTGAAGGTAACAATAGTCCAAGTTTGATTGTAGGGATGAAAAAAGGTTTGGTGAACTTTGTGGAATCCGAGGTAGTCAGGTGTCCAGATATCATAAGAACATGCAGATAAAAGGGAAATTTAAATAGTGTAAAACTGTGGTGGAGAGACGAAGGTAATGGTAATGGTAGTCCTCTTACTCACCTATAATTGCGCTATGGGCAGCTCAGGAGTGAATCGCATTCAGTGGCGTTGATCCCCCACTGGTAGGATATAGGTGTTGGTAGATGGTACAGGTCCTCGGTGTGGGGAAAGAAAAAATAAAACCAAATAGTGCTCTATATACCTTTTTTGCATTCACACACAAGCACAGACAATACACATAGACGGTGCTGCCTCAAGGTGCTCAGAGTTCACCTACCATGTATAGCATGGCAATGGCCCAAATTCTAGAAGTCATTGTTTTGCTACAATATGTTGATGATTTGCTTCAGACCAGGAGTCATGATGTTGCCCAGACCAGGAGTCATGTACAAAGCACAGCCTGTCTTTACTAACTTTTTTGGCACCAGCAGGGTGCAAAGCTACCAAAGCCAAACTACAGGCATGCACTCCCACTGTTATCTTTCTGGGATACTGTATTTTCCATGGTACAAAGCATCTCACAGAAGAAAGGAAGCTTGCAGTGCAAAAGTTGCCCCTTCCATGCAGTCTAGCCCAGCTATGTACTTTCCTTGGCCTAGTCTCCTATTGTCACCCATGGTTTCACTCTGCAGCAATTAACATGCAGTCCTTGTATGACTGCCTCACCCTTGACCCCTTCCATTTAATCCCTGAAGCAGAAGAAGCCTTTTACACTTGTATGCTGCTTGTCACCTCAGCTCCAGCACTGAGTCTACCAGATTATAGAAAGCCCTTTTCCATGTTCTGTACTGAACAGGCAAGCTATGCTACAGCCGTAATTACCCAGGATCATGGGCAAAAGCAAAAGCCGGTTGCCTATTAATCAGCCAGGTTAGACCCTGTTGCAAGAGGTGCCCCTTCCTGTGTTAGGTCAGTAGCTGCTGTCACTGCTCTGCTAGATAAAGCAACAGACATTGTTTTAGACAATCCAATTACTATTTACACTCCTCATGACATTAACAGCATTCTGTCTCAGGTTCAGCCCAAGCACATACATACTGCAAGGCATCTCAGAATGCAGTGTGCCTTACTTATGCCCCCAATGACACTTTAAAGTGGAGCATGGTATTAAATCCATCTACATTGCTTCCTATGGATTTAAAACAGGGGAGTGGCACAGACCTTTTTTTGAATTCCTTATCACCTGATGAGTTAGTTGAGACCCAGGTACCTCATGACTGTGCAGCCTTAATGGCATAGGAAACTGCAGTTTTTTCGCATGCCATTGATTCACCATTGTCTAATCCAGACTTTGAGTATTTTGTAGATGGTTCTCGATTTGCCGATGAGAAGGGTAACTTTCATACTGGATATCCTGTAGGTAATTAAAGCAGAACCACTCTCTCCTCACTGCTCTGCACAGGAGGCCGAGCTGAAGGCTTTCACTGAAGCATGTAAACTGGCCTCAGGTAAGACAGCTAATATCTATACTGACTCTCAGTACGCCTTTGGCATAGCCCATGACTTTGGACCTCTTTGGCGTGCCCGAGATTTTCTCACATCTGCAGGAACCACCATCAAGAACTCATAAGCAGTGAGTGCCCTAATGGATGCTATCCTGCTACCCAAGCATGTGGGAATCATCAAGGTGGCAGCTCACATGAAGATCACAGATGAAGCATCCCGAGGTAGTCACAGAGCTGATGTAGCGTCTAAGCAGGTAAAGCTCCTTTAAAGACTATGACTGTAGCCCAATCTGTTTCATATGACATACTGCAAAGCCTACAGAAGCAGGCAAGCACAGAAGAACAAGAACAATGGAAGAAACTGGGAGCAGCATATCAGGACACTGACAAGATGTGGAAGAAAGGTGAGAAACTTTGTCTACCCAAGGTTTTATACCCAATACTGGCCCAGGTGGCAAATGGACCGACACATCTGTCAAAAATGAACATGATCAGTTTGTAAATGCACATTGGATTGCTCCAGGTTTCACTGTAATTGATGTGAAACATACTCAAATGAATGCCTCTCCCTAGCCCTCTTTTCAATTAGATTTACTCCACACCTTAAAACACATCTGTCCCCCTTTGAAATACTGTTTGGATGTGCCCCCAAGACAGTACTCTACTTCCCCCAAACCCTCCAGCTGCAGCACAGCACATCCATAAAGCTAGAAGGAAAATCTACTTGGATTCACGCTAGTCACTGTAAATTGGTGCCTGATCCAGAATGAAGCTACTTTTCATATCCTTGTCTACTATACTGACCTTGACCTTCTGTATTACCCCTGGGACTAAGTTAACAGATCATGCAAACAAAAGTAAAATGTTTGGGTGGGACTGAGGAAATTATGACACGTTTCAGGACAATTACACCTGCTTTGCCAAAACTAACACGTCCCTCCCCAGCTGCAGACTGGCTCACATAACAAAAGATAATGGACATTGGTATAGTTGGGAACGGGGTCAACTGTACCTAAGCAAAGACATGACTACTTTCAATGTGACATGGCTCCAAAATGTCTCTATTTCTTGTAGGTTCATCAACAGCTCATGCATGAAAGAGTTCGATTGGGGAGACCATGATGGAAAAACAGTGACTAAGGTAGTGCGATGTTTGGAAGAGCAACCTGTGACTGTGAATGCTAGTATGGTGGTGAACATGACTGACTGCTACACCTTTGCATGTACTAACAATTCAGTAATACATGTATATACATGTAAATATGGTTGTCACTTGTAACTAATATGGGGGTGAAGCCAAGGGTTTCTGCTGACAATCTGGTCTGTCTGCCAGCTAAATATCAGAATATTTCTACCAAAGTGGGCCTCATCCATGTGAAATACCACATACTGTTCCCAGAAATACTTAAATGTAAGCCCCACTCCAGACCAAAGAGAGAATGGCATGACACTTTGCTAGGGGTTACAGGACCAGCTGCAGGATTTCTATGGATCTAGAGGTAGTGAGAAATAAAATAGCAGGTGCAGGCAGAGATGTAGACAGTGCACTCAAGTTACAAGCCCAATGGATGCCTTCCATATTTCTTCCCTCAAGCCTATACCCTACCCTATAACAACGAGGCTGTTTAACATGAGTGTGTATGCAACCCAGCAAATACTAACCAGTCTCACTGAATACATTAAGTATACTGCTTTGTCTACAATGCATATACACACTTCAGCAAAAAGACACTGCACAAATGAACCTCCTGAATCAAAAGGCTTCCACTGCATGCAATATGTTTGGTAAATGTACTAACCCTTATATGTGGCTTAGAATTGGTACTAACCAACTGTCAGGTATAGCATGGCATGTAATTTATCGCCGGAACCCACTTCCGGGTTCACGGCGCTCAGCCCCGCCCCTTTCTCTGACGCGGTCCCTCCACGATACTTAGGAGGACCGCGCCAGATTCAAAGGGCTGGATTATTCGCACAGGTGCTGCATGAAGATCAGCTGCTCTACTTCTGATCCTACCTGCTCCACTTCTATACCTCGGCTAGTAAACGGATTTCTACCTTCTCCACTTCTCGACCTCGGCTTGTAAACGGATTTCTACCTTCTCCACTCCTAGACCTCGGCTTGTAACTCTGAATTCTACCTTCTCCACTCCCAGACCTCGGCTTGTTAAAACGGACTTCCCCACTCTCCACTCCTAGTTCTCAGCTTGTTGAAACGGACTTCTAATTTCTCCTTCATTGGGTGAATTAACCCTTCCAGTGCCAGAACTGCCTTTAAGTTAAGTAATACTTTTACCAAACAAGTCAATTACTATTATTTATATTACACAGTATCTAAAACTCACTAAAGTGTCACTTTGTCTAATTATTCCTCTTACTCATAAGGGATTGCTACAAAGCCTAATTTTACCTACATGGATATTTAAAGGTACAGTGACCATAGTTTCATACCAATATAAAAGGAGGTGAACCTTATTGTTGTTGCAACCAAGAAATGCTGCAGTTGAGTTCCAATTAAAGAAATATTACAAAATAAGTATTACACCAACAAAGCTGTAATGATACAATGTGCATAGGCAGCTTTACTGCCTACAGTATTGAACAATATGATATGATGTGTAAATTCCTTGTGCTTCCAGTTATCTTTGGTCCACCCCTTTATACTGCCCAGTCTTGTATGCTTCAACATTCTGTAAGTGTGTGTGATTTGACAGTGTTCCCTAGTCCGATAGACATGTATATGGAACTCACCCCTTTGTATATTTGCCTTACACTTTCTCAGCCAGATACCAACAAACGTTTGGGAGTCCCTACGCCGTTTGCAGGATGCTTTCAGAACCTGACAATGCTCAAGTGGTACAATTACACGATAACCTTCATCCCGGATGCAGAGTTAATCATTACCTCCACATGGCACCCACAAGCACTGGATTTGGATACTCTTTCTGTCTCTCTACAACCCTTAATTAACATTGTCAATAATACTGACCACCTAGCTAAACATTTAGCCACCATTAAACGACCACATACTCGTTTTCATGGCACTATAGTGCCCTGAGGGTGCCCCCATCCTCAGGGTCCCCCTCCCGCCCGGCTCTGGAAGGGGGAAAGGGGTTAAAAGCTACCTTTTTCCAGCGCTGGGCGGGGAGCTCTCCTCCTCCGATCCTCCTCCATTCCGCCCCGTTGGCTGAATGCGCACGCACGGCAAGAGCTGCGCGCTCATTCAGCCGGTCGCATAGGAAAGCATTTACAATGCTTTCCTATGGATGCTTGCGTGCTCTCACTGTGAAAATCACAGTGAGACGCACGCAAGCGCCTCTAGCGGCTGTCAATGAGACAGCCGCTAGAGGCTTTGGGGGAAGGCTTAACCCATTCTCTGAAACTGCTATGTTTATAAAAGAATGGGTTAAGCCTAGCTGGACCTGGCACCCAGACCACTTCATTAAGCTGAAGTGGTCTGGGTGCCTAGAGTGGTCCTTTAACCATTCTTTGCATGCACTAAAGAAAAGAACTGTCATAGTTGCTAATAAACTACACAGCATAGGTAACAAGATAGTGGCAGATACAGGACATCACTGGTATGATATTTTTACAGGGTGGTCTCCCTCCGCTAAAGGAGTTTTAAACATAGTACTGCACCCACTAATTGTTGTGATATGTCTTTTCTTTCTTCTTACCTGTTTTAATCTATGGATGCAAAATTACAAAATGAGACATGGATTTAATAACACATATCATCCTGTAACCACAGATATCTGGACAAGTCTCTTCCTTGATGGCTCTTTTGGTGTGAGATGGCAAAGGAACCGAGGTGAAGATCTAATTAAAGTCCCACAGGTATAACTAGTATATCTGGATGTACCTTGCCTAGAACTCTCCCCTGTGGCACCAAAATAGGGGAATTGTCAGAGATAAAAGATACATAAAGGGCTACAGGCTTAGCTTTAGTTAAGTTCTTCCACGTCTGCAGGTGTTAAAAAGCTAAATAGTTTTATCAGCAGTTTCTGCAGATGTTTTTTCTGTTTCTTTGCTTTAACCTTGCATAGTTTAGATAACACTTTCAAGTAAGCCATTGTTTCTTTGGTCTTTTTTTTTATATATATTCTTTATTTTTGCAGTGCTTAGATTTAACATACACGCTTGTAACGCCACGATAGTGGGTACAAGCCAATGGAATAAAACATGTTGTACAGCATCATGGCAATCAATTTAACAGCACTTTTTTTTTTTGCGATAGATTAAAGAACAATACGTTGAGACTAGATGTTAGGTAACCGTTAACAGTTGGTGCACTCTGCAATGGCATTTGGAGAGTTAATGTTGCTGAGGTCTGATAGATTAGCCCAGATTCAGTTTGAAGCTAAAGATAACATGAAGTCCCTTTTTAAGCATTAATCTGGTACATGAAGTATGACAGTGTTATTTATGAGAGGAGTGATAGCAGGTCATGGAAGATAAGGACATAAGGCTTATTCAGTATAGACATTATTATTTATGCTAGGACCTAGCGCCCTGACCTCTAGATACCATCAGCACTGCATAGGTAGTTAAGTGCAAAGAGGATATAGTGCTAACAATCCAGGCAGGGGTTAATGCATTTCAGTCACATAAGATAGAATGCCTGAAATAAATGCAAGATCGTAACTGAAATGCTGAATAACTAAAAAGTTCACCCTACCTCCTTGGTTAGTGAAAGTCCCAGTGATCCATAGTTTGACACTCCGTCTGCTCCGGGCTTGGGTGAGAATAAGGTTCCCGATTGTCCGTCTGTGTGTGTCTCCGATACTGGTGTGCCGGTGCGGTTTAGTGTTTGCTAGGTCTTGAGGTTTCTCCTTCCAGAGGTGCGTGATGCGCATCGCGGTGCTCCCCCTTGCGGCTCTCTGCCCAGTGTTACGTGATAAGCGTTGGTCGTCTTGTGTCTCCGATAAGTGCCAGAGGGCCGGTCGGGTCCCCGCCGCAGGTGCAAGCAGCACGGTTTGGAAATTGTTTGCCCCGCAAGGTCAGGCGTGGAACGGTAAGTATCAGGAGATGAGCCTTGCAGAGGGCTGTCGCCCTGCTCCTCTTTCACACAATTCTTGTGCCTGTCAGCAGGTTTGAACCAGAAGTTGGTGAAGATTTTGTCCAGGCGCCTCATCAATGTCTCCAGGCTGTCATCACATGGCGTGTCCGCCATTTTAGTGGTGACTGTACGGGAGGCATCAGAGTGCAGGGGCTCTTGCTGTGTTGCAGCTGTCCCTTTAGTTTGACGAGTCGAAGAGTGAGTACTGGGATGTCCCTCACCGGCAGGGGGCGAAATGGGGGGCCCCTTCACCTTTCCTTGCCCCAGCAGGATGCTCAGCAGGGAGATCAGCCGTTTCTCCCTAGCTGCCCCCACAGGTAGGCCTCAGAGCTGCGACGGGGAAAAATCACCACTTGCGCGACTAAATGCCTCCAGATGTGTTGCTGATTGTCTCCAACCGGAGTTGTCTTGATTGCTTAAGTGTTGAGTTGCTTTATTTTGCTCGGTTCTATAATTTTGCCGGGAGCTCACACTATGTGCCTCCGTCTAGCATGGCGGTCAAGCCCCACCCCCGTCTTACTTTTTTTATGCACACATGTGCAGTAGATTAATTGCCATTTTATATATATGATGATCTCCTATTAAAGATTGAAAGAAGATTATTTTGAACTACAAACAAAGTGAGTCTGTGGTTTTATTATTGGTTCTCCCAAGCGCTCAAACACCTAATTAGGAGCCTCTGTGATCTCTGGGATGATTTATCCATCATCAATTTTCTATATCACATATGAATGTAATATACCTCCATTAAAGTAATATGGGGATCTTATTATTATTATTATTATTGCCATTTTTATAGCACCAACAGATTCCGTAGCTCTTTACAATATTATGAGAGGGGGGATTTAACTATAAATAGGACAATTACAAGAACACTTACAGGAACAATAGGTTAAAGGACCCTGCTCAAATGAGCTTACAGTCTATAGGAGGTGGGGTATAAAACACATTAGAACAGGAAATATCAATCAAACAAGATGGGAGTGAAGCAGATCTGGAGAAGAGAGTAGAGTGCTGCTCTTTAGGAGAGAGCAAGAGACAGGTATGTAAGGTAGATGCTACTCTGGGAGGCCATACGCTTTCCTAATGAAATGGATTTTAAGGAACTTCTTAAAGGATTAAAGGCTAAGAGAGAGTCTGATGGGGGCAGGCAGGCTTTTCAATAGGAAGGGAGCTACCCGCGTGAAGTCCTGCAAGCTCGAGTTGCCTGTTAGCACTATGAATTGACTCCTATAGGATACAGGAAGCCAATGTAAGGACTGACAGAGGGGTGAGGTGTGAGAGGACCGACTAGAGAGGAAAATCAGTCTGGCAGCGGCATTCATTACAGACTGTAGTGGAGCAATATGGCTTTTGGGAAGACCAATTAGGAGAGGGTTACAATAACCATGTGGGAAATTACTAGAGCATGGACAAGCTCCTTGGAAGCATCTTTCATAAGAAAGGGGCGGATGCGGGCTATGTTTTTAAGTTGGAATCTACAGGATTTGACAACATATTATTGACCTCACATAAGATTTTAATGTTTACATTTTTCAGTTTTTTACTTTAATGTGACATCTGGCTAGGAAGCGCTGGCCAGTCGACACATAATTAACTTTTGCAACGCCAAGGATTTTAAATTATTTTCCTGTTGGCTGCTAGTGCTACCAGCTAGAAGATAGTTTTTCAGATTATTTTATTTACTTGCAGAAAGCAAGTGAATGATAGTTTGCAAATGTGCATTTTCAAATTAGTGTCCTAAGCTATTTAGGTAGTAGCCTACACCAAACATAGATACACTACACTACATTAACCCACTAGGATCAACAAAATAAATATACTATACTAGTAAGGACAGTTATGTGTATTTGGCATTTGTTAAATGAGTACGATGCTTTATTTTGATATATAATCTTTGCATGTTGAATTGTTATGGCAAATGTATTCCACCATCCATCGTTAATGAGTTAAAAAGAGCATGTTACTACGTGCTGTGCAGAATTATTGCTTTATTTACTTGCAATACATGTTGAAATTATTTGCAGCACATTTGTGCAACCTGTTGTAATGTAATTCCCTTGCACAACAGAAATATATATATATTTTTTTTTTAAAGCATGTTAAATGTTTAAGTGTTTATTATCAAGTGACAAAATGGATTCCAGCTATATAAAAAAAAAAGGAATCTTATTAGTAGTGATTTGGCACATAGATTTGTTTTATTTGGGATAGTAGTGGGTTTAATGCAGAGCACTGACAATTGTAAGTTTTAATGCACAGTAGCTGAAATCTAAAAAGAAACTGTGGTTTCTGAGTTTACGGGATTGAGTGACTTAAAATTCAGGGCAGGGACTTTTTTTTTTTTTTTTTTTTTACTTCTGTCAGCTGTTAAAGATTTCTGTGCATTTCAGAGAGAAAGTCCTTTCTGGGAACGGTGTCACTGAGAATATCGTTTCTGTTAGAACCGACACAGTGAAAAGGACCACCGAGTTTCAGTTAAACGTGTCTGGAAAAAAAATATTTGTCTCTTCCTGTACCTGGTAAAGAAGACCTCTGCACATCATGCAACGTTACCTGCTCACCTGTGCCATTCTGTTTCTCTATATCGCAATGACCATGGCAACAGCTACGGTAAATACATACATTTTTTTCTAATAACAGTAATGGATGAAAAAAAAAGTGTATATGTAATAATTATTATGCCAGTTCAATTTATATTGCTCCATTTATGTTTTTCTTGATATTCCACCCATGAATTATTGCCAAAAATGCGTGTTGTATGTATACAAATGTAGTTTTCAGTGTGGTCCCGCCAGTTCTAAAAAACAGGTTTGTTTTTTTATGAATTACAACATCTTTAAAGCAACAACATCCTTTGCAATAAAATTGGCAAGCATGCAAGAAGCTGGACATTAACACTCCTAATTCCAATTATAGGGGAGCTGTTATGTCTCTGGAATTCACACCATTGATTAACCTATTAAAAACCACCAATATCTTTTTCATGTTAAGTAAGTTTATATTATAGATTTAGCAAATTATATGATAATCTAGTTCAGACAAGGCAATCCAGGGCAAATGAATAGGAGAAATCAATTTATCAAAGTGTCAACCACATTTTCCCATCTAAGTTTCAGATAATTTTGGTGCCATTTAATAAATCTGTCAGATCTGTTTGTTTTTTTTGTTTTTAATTTTGCACCCTAACCATCATTTGCCCCATGTTTTTAACAACTCAATGGCTGGATGAATATTTCCACCACTTTATTTAAATGAAAAGTGTCGGAATTTTTCTGCTGCTATAAATTTGGTTGTCTTCTAAAAAAAGAAATTAGTCACAAATTTACTACGAAGAAATTTAAGGAATGAATTTAACTGACACATTTCAGAAAACTCTGATAAATATCCCCAATGTTTCAGTCCTTTTTTCTATTCATGCTTTCTCTATGCTGACTCCCAGGTGCAAAGATCAGAGTTTGTTGAATGAATTATAGGTAATGGAGGCGCTTAGTTGTAAATTGAAGAGGTGTGGATTTCTACATTGAATTAACATTTTTACACCTCACAAATTCATATTTGTTAAATATAAAAAAAAACATAGTGTTATTTACTAAGGTGAGAATTCAATTTCAAATGTGAGGCCAAAGTAGCCGAATTGAAAGAGAATTTTTCCACTTTGGTTATTTTTGAACTTAACTTTGAAATTCACTTTGCTTTCACTGTGAATTTACACTTTAGTGAATGACCCTGATAAAAACTCCCCTTTAAGATGGCTAGGTGCTATTTCACTTTTTTTATTTATTGCTTGTAGCAAGTCTCTAAATTCATAATTAAATAACAAAATTCAGATTGTAAGCTCACGGGCTATCTAGCTAATCACTTTGTATAAAAGAGCTTCAATGGCTAGATCTCAGTTTATGGGCAGGGTTCTCTCTACATTTTGTATTTGTCTGTGTATATTTTATGTTCTCACCTAATTGTACAGCACTGCGGAATATGTTGGCGCTTTATAAAGTCCAGTAATAAATAAATAAACATTTATTCTTGCTAAATAAACTAGTAAATGGCTGTGTATCACATAGCAGTAGTCAAACTACACAGATTAATAGTTAAAATGTTAGTTGATTAAATAAAATCTCACAATGTCTCACAAGGTTTTGGAATATTCCAATAAAAATAAAGTGTTACTGTATCTGGATTGCTGGATTACTTTAAAAAGTGCAGCATTAAAAATGAAAATCGTTTTTGCAGAATTTCTACTTTAATGAAATGTGATGAAAACACGACCAGTGCATGTATGTTTGAGGACAAATATTTGTCTGTTTGTCTGTCTATTCTAAGCTGAAACAATTGAGTTTTGGCATTCACTAGTAGACCTCTGTTGTCCAACTATGCTACTGAAGGATTTTCTACCTGCTAGAGCTCTAAAAAGCATCCATTGTCCAAAAGCCGGTTTCCACTCTTGAATGCTAGAATGGTTTTGAAATGTAAAAGGTTTTGCCAAACTTAGAACATCACATAATATAAAACAGCCTGTGTTACTTAAGTATAAGAAACTAGAACAGCTACAATTTCTGGGGAAATTGTGTGAAGTGTTCTTGCCTCCACCAGTAGTCTACAACTGGAGTCGACGCAGTAACTGTTATTATTTATTTATATAGCACATTTAATTGCAACGTTGTTGTCCAAAGTGCAGTTACATTAAAACATACATTTATAAAAACATTAGCAGGTGTACAAAAGGCCCTGTCTATGACATCACTTTCTGCTGCAGCCTGGCACAGGTCAGAGTATTTTGGCGGTTGCCATCTTCAAACGGTCGTATTTTAAAAACTATAACTCCTACAGTGAAGAGCTTTATATTGTGAGAATCACAAGACCCAGACCTACATTTTGATGCATATATATGGTATGTATCTGAAGTATTAAAAATGAAGGCACAGTCGCAGTTTAGAAATTGCACTTCAAATTTGAGCTTTGTAGAGTGAAGTTTCAATGAATGTCAATGGACGGTGTTAGTTGCAAACAAATGATTATATTGTGAAAACTATCAGGACTATGGCTTAGCCGTTGACATGTTTAGTGGCAGCAGGGATAGCTGAACGTTTTGATATAAGATTTGTGTAGGTGGGCTTGAAAATGAGGGAGTGGTGGCAGTTTAGAAATCATGTCCTGATTTTTCAGCTTTTGCCAGCTCCCACTCTAGCTTTGCCATTCATTCCTATGGGACAAATTGCACCACAAGAACGGCGATATTCCGTGAACCTTTCGGCGAAACGTTCCACAAAGTAATAGCAATCCGATCGGGAACAATCTGCACGTTTTGGTAAATTTTTGTCTATGTAGTGTAAAAACTGTGGGAGGAGTTAGGGTGGCAAATTTGGCTATAATAAGAATAAGAATATATATGTGAGATAACAATAAGTGGTCTTGCTATGCAAGAACACTTAATAATAATATATATGTGAGATAACAATAAGTGGTCTTGCTATGCAAGAACACTTAAATATATATGTGAGATAACTTTAAGTGGTCTTGCTATGCAAGAACACTTAAATATATGTGAGATAACATTAAGTGGTCTTGCTATGCAAGAACACTTAATAATATATATGTGAGATAACATTAAGTGGTCTTGCTATGCAAGAACACTTAATAATAATAATAATATATGTGAGATAACATTAAGTGGTCTTGCTATGCAAGAACACTTAATTAAAGTTAACTTGTCAAAAATCTAGCCTGGAAGAGCTCCTATTCTCATCTGGGAGTTAACTAAAATGTGTATTGTTTAAGGGAATGTACAATGAAACGCACATTTTAGGCCAAATTTACAAGCAATGTCAAGCTATATTTGCAACTTGGCTAATAGTGTCTCAAATATGCAATCCTATCAACAACTCTCCACCATTCCCAGTTTAGTGAATAAATACAATGGAGACTCCAAATGTCTCATAGATAGATAGATAGATAGATAGATAGATAGATACTTTTCGCCTCAGCAATTCTAAAGAGAAAATGCTGCTTAGCACAGTCCTAGGCTATATTAGAAAATTGTATAAAATGTAATGTGATCCAAACAGTATTGTGAACATCGTCATCCAATTTTTCTTTCACATCGTATTTTGTAATTAAGGTTTTTGGCAGGTTAATATACTGAGGTAATATGATGCAAAATATAGATTGCCAGGTAACCTGAGAACTCTGTATGGACCACACTTGCTTAAAGATTAGTGCATGCAAATGTTGAATTTTGTATCACATGCAGTAAAGGTTGTCTCTCGTCAGGTGTTGTGTTGTCTCTTGCACGTCAGTGTATCATTTCAGCAGAAAGTTGGCAGTGGGAACTAAAGAGTACAAATACCATGGCTGCTGAATTTCTGTTATCACTAGGATTCCACACTGTAGCGTTGTATCTGATGTCCCTTATCAATTAGGTTCCTCCCCATGTAAAATTTAAAAACACAATGAAAAAATAAACAAATTGCTCGGCTTTTCTTCTGTGCTGAGCCATGCCTCCAGGTTGATGGGCCAATCCAATGCTCCTCATAGAGGAACATTCGGGAATAAAGGCCTATGCGTGGCACTCACTGCAATGCACCTACAATTTTTCTATAGAGAATCATTGTATTTAATCATTCTCTATGACCGAACATGACGGCATGTGCATATGCACATGATGTAACCATGGGCGTCCGCAGGAATTTTTCCAGGGGGGAGGGGGGCATAATTGTAATGACATCCATGCTTGGTACCTTTTTAACAGTGTCATGAAAGGGAAGGGGCACAGCCATTATCACATAAAGCCAGGGTGAATAGCGTTTTCACAACTATGGTGTCAGGAATATATGTTTGTATTCCTGACACTATAGTGTTCCTTTAAGCAAATTAAAGGACCATTCTGGTCACCATAACAACTTCACCTAAATGAAAATGCTATGATGCCAGGAAGCCCCTGGGTGCTCGCTTTCCTTTAAGGGGTTAAATCGCTCTCAAATGGTTTAACCTCAAAGGCTTCCTCCAGCTCCAGGTCGCTCAGTGGTATTTGGCTTCTGAAACAGAGTGTCAGGAAGTGCAGACTGACATCAGGCATGGGTGCCGCTGATTGGCTAGAGTGGACAGTTGACGCTCTAAGCCAATCGCTAGTTCCCGGTTCATAAAATATTTTAACTTTTTTATGAATGGGGAGCTACTGATTGGCTTAGAGTGCCAGCTGACCGCTCTAGCCAATCAGCAACACCCCTACCCAATGGCACTCTGTGCTTCCTGACACTCAGTAAATAAAAGTGAACACATTAATACTGATATTTTTTTACCTTTGGAGATGAGAAGGTCCAGTGTTTCCCTGCCTGGCCCAGGTACCAAAGCCTTATGATGTGGTGTCCAGAATAAAGTGGAGGGTTCACTTCATTTGTCCTTCCTGCTCCAATCTCCTTTTCCTCTCCTTCATTTGACAGTCTTTTTTTTTCTTCTGACACTGTTTTCTATCCTTGGCCCCTTCTGCTCTTTTACCTTTCTGCTACTTTCTGCTTATTTTGCGCCCTTCTGCTCCTTTCTCATTCTGATCCCTTTCTGCTCCTTGCAGACCCTTTCTGCTCCCATTTCTACTTTACCTTTGTGCTCCTTGCTGTCCCTTTCTGCTCTTTCTCCTACTTTACCTTTGTGCTCCTTCTGATTCTTTCTGCTCCTTTACCTTTGTGCTCCTTACTGCTCCTTGCAGGCCCTTCCTGCTCCTTGCAGGCCCTTCCTGCTCATTCTCCTACTTTATGTTTGTGCTCCTTCTGCCCCTTCCAGCTCATTTCTGACCCTTTGTGCTCCTTCTACTTTACCTTTGTGCTGCTTTACCTTCCAGCTCCTTGCTGACCCTTCCTGTTCATTTCTGTTCCTTTGTGCTCCTTCTCCTACTTTACCTTTTGTGCTCCTTGCTGTCCCTTCCAGCTCCTTGCTGCCCCTTTCTGCTCCTTGATGTCCCTTCCTGCTCATTTCTGTTCCTTCTCCTTTTCTCACTTACCTTCCTGCTCCTTGCTGACTCTTCATGTAGGCTGTCTCCTCCAACCCTCACTTCCATAGGCGTGCGCACGGGGTGTGTTGGGTGTGCCTGGGCACACCCTAATCCCTGCGGCACGCCAATGGATTGAGACCGGCAGGGGAGATCTCTGGCTATCCGAGCGGCGGCTCTAGTCTAAGCCTCCATGGGCCGGTGGGGAGATCAAAGTTCTACCTCACCGGTCCACAGCAGCATGGAGGGAGGCAGCAGAGAACCCGGGCTAGAGTTCACTCTCCACTGAACCACCAGGGAAGGCAGCAGGACTGGGATATTAACTAATCTGCCCCCACTTCCACCCAAACATACAGCACACACACACACAGCACCTACACACATACATCACCCTCGCACACACAGCACCCACACACATACAACACCCACACACCCAACACACTAACAGCATCCTCACAAACAAACAAAACCCACACACAGCACCCGCACAGCACCCACAAACAAACAGCACACTCACACACAAACAGCACCCTGACAAACACACAACACCCACACACAGAACACTAACAGGACCCGCACAAACACGCACACACAAACACCCTCTCACACATACACACACAGCACACTACCAGTTCCCTCACACACAGCACACAAACAGCACTCTCACACACAGCACACTAACAGCACTCTCACAAACACACACAAAAACACAGTCACCCACATAGCACACTACCAGCACCCTCACACACACACACACACACACAGCAGTGTATATATATATATATATATATATACACACACATACATACATATACATATGGCGTGTGTTTGTGATTTAGGGTGCACACCCTAATGCAATAGGCTCACTAATCTGCTCACTTCCCTAATCTATAGGCTGCCCCCCCAAAATCTATGGGCTGCTGCCCCCCCCCCAAATCTATGGGCTGCTGGGCTGCTGCCCCCCCCAAATCAATGGGCTGCTGCCCCCAAATCTAAAGGCTGCTGCTGACCTCAAATCTATAGGCTGCTGCCCCCAAATCTAAAGGTTGCTGCCCCCCCCCCAAATCTATGGGCTGCTGCCCCCAAATCTATAGGCTGCTGCCCCCCCCCAAGTCTATAGGCTATCTCAATCCCTCCACCCCATCCCTCACTCCCCTTATCTGTAGGCTATCTTTGCTGGCTGCATGTGTTGCTCCCCTGCGGTTTCAATCAGCAGAGAGAAGCAGGGATAAGATGCAGCTTCCTATCCCTACTGGCAGGCGCCGGTATTGCAGTTCATTCTAAATCTCACACGAAAAATAGCAGAACAAGCTGAAAAATCCAGGAGGGGGGGGGTGGACGCAAGTGGCCCCCCTTGCCCCCCCCTGCGGACGCCCATGGATGTAACGGTATGTTACGGTAGAAGAGTCAGAAGTGAGATCCACCTCTCTCATACCCAAAGGACTTGGAGGCTTGGCTTAAAGTCGCAGTTTCAAGCCTTCTAGTTACCGTATTTATCGGCGTATAACACGCACCGGGGTATAACACGCACCTCATTTTAAGAAGGAAATTTCAGAGAAAAAAAACTTAAATTTCAAATAAAGAACTTTTTACCCCCCTTTCTTACTCCCCCCTCCCCCTCCCCTTCTTACTCCCCCTCTTCTTACCCCCCTTTCCCCTTACTCCCCTCTTCTTACTTCCCTTCTCTCCTTCTTACTCCCCCCCTCCTCTCCCTCTCTTCTACTTCTTACCTCTTTCTACTTCCTCTCTTTTCTCTTCCCTTCTTCTACTTCCTTCTACCTCTCCCCTCTATTTCCTCTTTCTACTCCCTCCTCTCTTACCCGCCTTCTTACTCCCTACTTTACCTCCTGTAGTGTGGCCGAGCGCTCTTGCTGTTCAAGGGCTGCCGGAGGAAGGTGCACGCCAGTGTGTAATCCTCCTGTGGTCTACCTCCCCTGAACAGAAACTCCCTGTTCCGCGAATACAGTTTCTTGTTCTGGGCTGGGGGACACCAGTGTAGCACACTGCGCTGGGTTCCTGTCACCCCGCCGCGCCGGGGACAGAGTGTTCGGCTGAGCTCTGGGGAGGGGAGGTGAGAACCAACTGCAGCCGCCTGACCGCTCTTGACAGAGCGCTCAGGCGGCTGCAGCATTTAAAGGGCCGGCGTATAACACGCACCCATAATTTGCCCCCTATTTTCAGGGAGAAAAAGTGTGTTATACGCCGATAAATACGGTAGTTTAATATTCCATTTTGGGTTGTAGAAAAAATGGGTAGGACTGCAGGCACTATAACAACTTCAATAAAACACTTTTTACTTTTTATTTGTGCCAAAGTAGGTGGTCAGTGACACTGGGGATATTGTGCTATTATATACTAGCACCTAAGCACACTTTTTTCTTTTTTTGTTTGGTATACCAACAACTTCAATAAGATGAAGTTGTTAAACTGCCGACCATTGTCCCGTTAATAGAACTGGATAGCTCTTGTAAAATTTTAAAGATTTTAAAGATTTTTCTTATCTTTCTTAAACAATGAAACACATGATCTTAAAAGCTACACCTTATTTTCTGAGGGGATTTATCCCCCTCATCTCCAGTTTCCTACACCAATGCATGAAACTAAAATTTTTATTTGGTGACTTTGGGAGCGTTAATATCAAAGTGCCTTTAATTATGGTTTATTATTTGTAGCTTGGGATTTGTGAACAGACCTTGAATATGGTTGCCAGAGAAGTGAAATGATGGAAACAGCTTTGAATACACTCGGATAACGTATTCGCATTCTCTTTTTCAGAGTAAAAATGAAACCACTGAAAACAGCACCGAAGTACCTGGAACTCATGCATCCTTGCTTGCATTTTTAACTTTCTCTATCCTGTATTACATCCTTGGAAATTAATACCATGAAACAGAAAGAGAGAAAAATGAATCTGTTTTACAATAACCAAGAACTGGTATTAAGCTAGTCCTAAGTCAATTGATGAAAATCAAGAAACATCACTCCTTCCATTCTGGTTTTAATAACTCTCCAACATTTACCAAAATAACCTACACATCTGTTAACTGTAAACATATTTGTCAAATAAAAAATTTTTCATCACCAAGTGGCAGTACATTATTTTTTTTATTTAATAGCGAGTTGTCTAAAGATCAGTGCTTTTTTTTTCTTGTAAAGGTTTCCTTGCAAATTATCATAACACCATAATTACCCTGAACATTAAAATAAACTTCACAATAAAACTCAAGAGAAGTTCAGCCATTTATAATAAGTCCCAAAAAGAATATATACAAAACCACCAACAGTTTGTGAGTAAGAAAAAAAAGTGGAAGATCAGGTTGTGCTGTATAAAAATATATTATTATAAATAGTCCTGTCTCTGGGCTTGAAACACTTAGGCACTCATTAATACTATTTGGAGCATATCAGGCCCATCCCTATGTATTCTGGTTAGAGTTTTCACATTTTCTACATATGGGAAAGGCAGGTAAGGTGGGAGACGTTCTAGAAGCTTTTGAGATGAAATTCCAAGTCATAACAGAGGACCAATATGCCAGCGACCTTTTTGCTCATCAGTATCTTACCAGTAAGTGAAAGCTGAGTCTGTGAAGTGTGCGATCATTAAATAGATCTGATATTGAGGTATACAGTAAAATTGAGTTGGGGGACAGATTCCTTTGTCCAATTAATGAGCCACACGCATACAAACACCAGGACACAGCAACATTAAGGACCAGTACTTGAGAAATAAGAATTCTTTGTGTTTTTGACACCCCAAGTGTAGTATGTGCGGTCATCTTAGAACACTTCTACGTCCCAATGTTGAGTACATCTATCCTCTTCCATTTCCCACACCACTACATGGTCCGAATCATAACTGTTTCCGCCTGTGATTGCAGATAAAAAAAAAGACAAGAAATTATTAAAAGCAACAGTGACACATGCACTCTGTTATCCTGGGTATGTAGGGAAGAATATTGCTCCATGAGATCTAGATAAAACACTAAACCACCATATGTGGAGAAGTCCCAGAGAAGAGAATTAATTTAGACCTCATACTTGTAAATCCCCTGTCAATTCAGCATAATTCCCAGTTTACTGAATGCATCAAAGGTTCAAGCACGGTAATTGCATAGTTATTAAGTTTTAAAAGAGTTGGCAAAAGATGATTAAACCAAGGTTTTCTCAATAATTACCTTTAACATCAATGCACATGCCCTGGAAAGTGTGACTAATTATGTAACCAGAATCTTGCAAACTCCATGTTTGAACGGGCTTGCGCCCTTCAGCCCAGAGAACTACTTTCGTGCCGGGGCCAGGTTTTCCAACCACTTGCAGGCTCATGTGAGGAGCAATCTGTTGAGAGTACACAGTAGATATGTAATAGGAGACTATAAGATTTATCTACCTAATATGTATCTACACACAGTTCACAGACAATAATGAGATTGTATGAGATAATAATACTTGAATGTATAGAAAACAAGGTAAATTGTTTGTATTTTTGTGTTTACCTGATTCTTGATATGTCCATCTTCATAATACCACAACTCACAGCTTCCTTCCTTTGGTTCCGTGACCAAAACACGTGCAGCTTTCATATCCTCCGCTTGTTCAGGGACACTAAGGAAGAGATTCAAGGCTCTGTTCCGAATACGGATATACACTCTCCTCTGGATGTAGAAAAGAGGCTTATTATATTCTATTTAATGCAGTACATGGGTTTATACAAAGAACAAAGTCTTCAATTTAATTATGTCGACCGAAGCAGTTGATAATTAGCAAATTTGCTTTGTACATTTATTTTTTAAGATTTTTGACTCGATTAAATGCAAATCAAGCAACCAAACCCAATAAACGGGTCTACAGCTTGAGAAAAAAATGCAGATAAATGTGTTTCAGAAGAAATCATGTGACCTATTATAGCACCCACCCACTGGCGACAGGAGGGTGTACAGGGGATGGACAGATGGGATCATGGGGGGGGAGGACAATCTTGTGCCAGTTCTCCAATTCATTAGCGACTGGGCAGCAATTGTTGCCTAGACACGTGTTTCTTACAACAAGCCTTAACAGTAAACATCACTGTTTAATAGACATGACCCCACCCGTGGCATGGCAAATGGAGGCACAAGGAAGTATTAGACCAATAAGCTTTTACAGCTGTAATTTAATGAATCCAAGCCATTAAATGGCTTATTAGGCGCTGATAAACGTAATTGGCTGGAAACACTGAGCCCTAAGTACTCCTGCCGATTTAGAAAGTGTTATCAAAAGGTTATAGACATTGAGAAATATATGCAGAGATGTAAGCAAAAAAATAATCCTGATTTTATTGGGAAAAATGAACCTATGTACCAATGCTGTACATACACATGCAAGAGTTTGTTAACTTTGTACGTTTTTATTGAAAATATAGCTAACATTGCAGGTAAAACATACAAATACTGTAAGAAATACAAAGAGAAGTAAAGAAAAACAATAGTATTAGTAATTGCACATTTTTATTTGGTGATATGTATTAGGAGTTCAAAGCCAAAATACAGAGTTAAATATATTTACCCATTCTTTAACACGAATATTAAAAAAATGTCTCAAACACAGCTGATAGGAACAAACATTAAATAATAAAAAAAAAAGAAAAGAAATGTATGAACCTTGTGGCACTTTGTGATGGTAGCAAAATGAAAGGTGGAAGAGAAGAAATGTGTGGCGAAGAGTAACAAGAGAGAAAAACATAGGGAAGAGTTTTCCAACAGTCTGTGCATGATGATGCTCAAGGGCAGTCAGGAGTCTGCATGTACTGCATCCCAGAGAACTATGGAGAGGCATAGACATCCTGTTTACTAAGGGTGCTTCTCATGTCCCTATTTGATTATATTAGGCATACCCATTCCAAAATTCTGCAAAGCAGATGTATGCTTACATTTTAGTGGGCCTGGTTTAGATTAAGTAGCTATGGAGTCTGCATATATTTATATATAAGGACAATTTTAATATAGATTGGTGCAAAAGGAGAAAGTCTGATTGGTACAGTGCAAGTGAACCCTGTACCACCAGCTTTTATACCAAGTCTTCTGAGCATGAGTTGCTTTTCTATTATACTAAATATATATACTGATCAGCCACAACCTCTGAAGTTAATAACAATGGCATCTGTCAACGGCGAACTACACGATAATAGGCAGGTGGGTTTTAATATTTTTTTTAAAGTTGTGGTAAATCAATTTATAATTTTGTGCGTGCATCACACTATTAAGAACACCTAGAGGCTGTATATCACAGAGTGGGGAATTTCAGTTCCACTCCAACTTTATAATCCTAAACTGGCCCAAACGTTACCAGATATGAGTGTATGGACTTTTCACATTACACCAACTCCTTGATATTGGATGTAATTTGCCAGTCATTTTCCTTTTCTATTGCTTATTATACTGAACATCCACAATACCCAAGTTACCAAACAGTCATTAATCCAGTCATCTCAAGGCCAGGATTATACCACCCATAGTGCCTATATAGAGCTTGGTACAGAGCTTAAAATTGTGAGTTCATCTACTTTTATGTTTTCTCTATATTCTTAGACATACGTACTACACTAAATATTCCATTTTTGTCTGCTCTATATCTTATACACTGATCTATATACCAACCTACATTTACCCCATTACACGTTAAAATTCTCAACAAATAATCTAAAATGTAATTAGAGTACACATTTCTGTCATATTCACTACTGCATTCATTGTCTATAACTCAGTGTAGGTGTTATGCTGCCATGAATCTGCAGGTGCCATCACTTGCTTTTTTGTAAAACCACTTGGCGGCATTACACAAAACACTTGGGCTTCCCTTGGGACCTACAGACTTCCTTCTCTTCAACTCAATCAACTTAATAATGTGAAAATTAAACCTCTTCAACCTTATTGGCAATGATAGGCACAGAGCACTAGGTGCAGGTTTGTGAAGAGCGCTTAGTCTGTAGCTGCTATCCAGGTTGGATTGAATTGATATTGATAATATGGAAGTGCAAATTCCACATTATCAAGTTGACATAATATGAAAATAGTTTACTGTCTTCACAGTGAGGGAGTGAAATGGCTTCATACAACTGGTCAATCTGTCACAAATTATATGCTTATTGATCAGGAACCAAAGCCCTTCTGATTCATGTGTATTATGTGAGGAATTAAATTGGTATTTTGATATGGGCAAAAATGTTTAGGTAACATGAAGGTAATATAGTGTCCCATAATTGTTATATGCCAGTTGAAATGAGTTTGACAATATAAGGTCTCAATGTATTTTTTTTTTGTCAATCTGTATTTTTATTGAGTGATAGAAGTAACACGGGTTACACAAAACAGTTGTGACATTATCAGGAGAAGTAATGACATGACATTACATAGAACAAAATTTTACATCAATCCAATGTTGAGTGATTTAGGATGCTAGGTCACAATAACCTGAAACTGGCCTCTTTTTTATAATATGAGAAAAGAATATAAGAACAATCATAGGTATTAGGAAAAGCTTGTCAGGCTTGGCAATGAGTTACATACTTTACATATAATGATCTATAACACGCTAGGTAGTGTGTCAGTAGAGAGGATTAAAGAAAAAAACAAACACTGCTGAATACACTGACAGACTATGAGTGTAAATATAAAACCACTGGGCTCAGGAGAGGAACAAGAAAAAACAAATTATGAAAAGAGGTCAGGATTATCCAAACACAGAGTGCAAAGTGTAATGTTCTGCATGATTAGCAGGTGGGCAAGTCTCTCTGTGTCAGGAAGGCTCTAAGATAGATCACCCAATGCCGCACATAGGCCAAAGATGGTGGGTCAGCTTCTCGCCAGGACCAGTATCCTTCCCCTCCAGCATAAGATTATGTGAGTTCTGTGGTCGTCTGGCTGCATTGAGTTGAGTAGGCCACTAAGTACAGAGTCCATGTGTAACGGCACCCCGGGTATGAGAAGGGGTTAACACCGCCAAAGTTGTTATTTTCCCTGAATACAAAGTCAGCTACCGAACACTCCTAAGCAACAAACAGGAATCATATGAATTATCCCCCCAAGCACAAGACGAGGCTCTGTGTTGAGAGTCAAGCAGGATCTGTTTAATGGTGGCCACATATCGGCCTTTTATGCAGGTCATCCAGCAAGGGACACTCCCATAGGGACCTTGTGGAAAACTGAAACATTTTTACAGTATCCAAGCACATACAGTCACAATATGAAAACACTCCCACACAAACAGTGCAACTCCTCCTCTCTATCCTGAAGATAATTGGGTTAAGTGCCTGAAGTAACTCAATTACCTCCAGGTATAGAGAATATTCCCATTTTACAATAACGGTAAAAACACATAAAAATATATAATTCTTATTTAACTGAACGGAACCCCTACCTTCGACATATCCCCAGACAGCCTGGATCTGAGCGCTCAATATAACCAAACGGCACTCAGATCCCATACACACAGTCAAATCGCCATGGAGCTGAAGTGTTCACTGTGTTTTCGGCAGAAAGAATAAGCTCCATGGGCCTTGCTATGTGGGACAGTTCTGTTCGTGGATTGTCAATATACCGAACAGCGTTCGTATGAACTGGACGAAGAGATGGATGGTTGGTGATCTCAGTGGTGTTCACGGGAAACAGTGTCTGAAATTAGTTCCGTGTAGTTGTCGACGAACACCGCTCATACGAACGACGACCACCCAGCCGACCGTTCAGGAGTTGGAAGTGGATGCGGTTAACCACAATGTTAATAAGGTCAGAAAGGTTAACGAGCAGCACACTTCCCTGCTGGGTGGCCCGCCATTCGGTAGTTAGTTCGTCTTTTAGGGACTTGCGAACAAACAGACAAAAAAGTA